GTCCGTTGTTTTCTCAATTTGACACCCACAACTCGGATAAGAGCTGAGGCCCACAGCAACCCTTCTCAAAACACGGACATTAATAATCACCGAAATTTCCAGATCGAAATAAAGGAAGTTAAAGAGCGTGACTCGGAATGCAAACGACTAATTTTATTAACTATGATTATATAATGTTCTGGGATTCAATTTTATTATATTGATGATGTGCTGTTGAATTAAATTAAAAAATTAAATTTTTTCAATTCTTATAAAATGGATTGTCACATCAAGAAATAAGTATTTAACTTGAGACTACCCGGGCGATGGGAAAGAATGATGAGTGCTGTTATGTGACGGGTTATAACCTATGTGGCGAGTAGTAGTAAAAGCGACAGTCATTTTAAAATTAGAGTAGTTATATTATTATTATTATTATTATTATTATTATTATTATTATTGTAATGCACCCAACACACAGATGCCATCTATTACGAATATTTCAGCAGTATTCAACGTTCAAGCAGTATTATGGTCGATTATTTAAATTAAGATTACCCCTTGAGCACTCGCGTGAGCCACATGTGTAGTCCAGCCATTTTATTTTGTTGGCGCGGATTCTTCTCTTCGCGAACCTCTTCTGGATTCATGATTATATCCACAGATAGAGTCCACTTTCTAATCAGTTACTATTACCATCCAGTCTGATTCAGAACTTTTCACAGCAAGAACGTTGTTCTCAGATAGTTTTAAAGGCGGCTCGGCAAGAATTCTAGCACTACTGTTATGGAAGGAAGTTTGCCAAGCAGTAAATCCGAAAAACGGTATACTATGAATTGTGTTCTAATGTCATATACAATAGATACTATAGTGACATACTATTGTCATGACAGTTAAATGACTCGTAATGAATTATCAGCGGAAAAAGAAAAATTTCATGCATCCTGCAGACAACGTAGGCAGATTTAAATAACATACGTTAACGTTTATTGGGTTTCACATCATATTCAAAAACACATTTTGATATTCAAATGCAGCACTTGTCTGAAAGTTCTTATGGAACTCATAAATTTAAAAATAGTAATAACTTAGACTGCTTATGCAATTTACGCGATCTCTTGCATTACGAAATCGGACGCAATTACTATTGGGTTAAATATCACTTTAAAAAGAATTTAAATATAGTTATTGCGTTATAAATGAATAGTGTTAACATAGTTACAAACGTTCTCGAGCCGGACTCTAGTACCAAGCACACGGTTCAATTTAAGAGCGAGAAACCTGAAAAATTCAGGAAAAACGAATTTAGGCGATCAGAGGGTACCCTAATTGAGAGCCAAACTCTAATATTTGAAGTTAAAATTAAAATTGTTACCATTCTGACTACTGAATCCCTTTTTTCATCTGTGTATTTTTTCTAATTAAATGTCAATTCAAGTAAGCATTCGCGCGCTGCGTGTGTCGGCCGAGAGCCAGCGCGCGAACGGTGTGTTTTGACGTGCGCGCGACGCGACGCTAATGTGGCGCCGATGTTCGCGCAGGGGAAGTTGCCTCGAGTTAAGCGCCCTCTGGCAAAACACGCCGCACTTCTCTACAGCGACCACGCCCCCTCCGATCCGGGTGTCAGGCGGCCGAGGCGAGGCGCGGATGACAATGACTCTCACGCTCCACAGAGCAGACCAGAGAGAACATATATAGACTTTGTAGACGTAGTGTCAGAGACTTTGACAGCTTGCAAACAAGGTGGTATACATTGGAATGCCCTTTACAGAAAATTGATTTTTCGAGTAAACGATAAAAGCGACCAAACCCAAATTCAGGTGATTTCATGTTTTCTTGAGAAAATCTATCATTTGGTCGAACTGCTTTTAAAGCGAAATTTTCGAGATAAACGCAAAATTCTTGCGAAATCAATTATTTTTTTTGCTTGACAACTGGCCCTCAGGAGAGGCAGCAATTACCAAGGTTAGCTGCCTTTGCCACGTGCGTGGTGCATGGTTTCCGAAGAAGCCCCAGGTTTTTGTATTTTTCCGATACCTACACTGTCTGGACATTTTAATAAGGAGCAATTTTGATATTGGGCATAAATGCGTAAATGCTCGTAAATGCGTAGCAGAAACGACTCTGATAGTTCGATGCTCTCTTTCCCTTTCATTTGTTCATTACGAGTTAGGGGTAAGAAGGGTAAATTACGTCACTGGGAAAGCTGCTGCTATTGCATGTCACTAGGAAACTACTGTCAGTGACATTACGTGTCTCCGAAACGACAATCATTATGAAATTTGATTGTACCTATAGTATTTTTACGTGTCAGTTATAAAAATATGCAGCAATATTTTTTTAATCGATTCTCGGCTATTATTATTATTATTATTATTATTATTATTATTATTATTATTATTATTATTATTATTATGCATATTGTGTTAGAACGGGCGACCCTTTCCCGCAGAAAATTGGTAGAGGGCTCCCCAGGCAGTGGCTTTTCAGACCCACAGTCGAAAGGCGGTTATCTCCCGGGAGGTGACGTAATGAGCGCTGTATCCCACGCGCCAAACGCTTTCGGAGAACAGATAGTGGAACCCTCACCGCCCACGCTGGCGCCACAAGTTATGGCGATTTCGCTTACCCTCTCTCCCACGATGCAGGAGCGACAGAAATGTGGGTTGAACATGAGGCTTCCGGGAAATCCTAGACGGAAGAGCGCTTCGTGAAATGGGAAGCAGTCCTCTTTCGCTATTATTTTACGCGTTCAGGATTGTAAATTATGGTTTATAACATTTTGTGCGAAATAGTAGCTCTTTCCATTGTTCAACAAATTTCAATATGTGGTATTCAACAAATGCAATGCCAAAATATCAAAACTATACCCTTTTATAAATCAACATTCAACACTTAACACCAAATGCCAGATTCTATTAAACAAATCAATTATCCTATCCACACTAACTTATGCTTGCCCAGTGTGGGAACCACCATACAAAAAATGCAAATATTTCACAATAAAGCCCTTACAATTAAAGCTTCATGATTTATTCCCACAGATAAATCCAAATGGAAACCATGCTAGAACGTATAAAAAGAATAGTAAATAATTTCTATTCTTCCCTTCCCTCATCTCATCCCGCTCTGAAATTCCAAGTAGGCCGAACAGCAAACATCCCAAGTCGAATCAAATCTAAATTTCACAAAGATATGCTTAAATCTCCCTAAACTAATATAATCTTCCCGTATCTCTGTAGAATTATTCACGTTTCCCTTCCTACTGCTCGACAGGGTAATCCTAACATTTTATCCCCCCCCACAAAAATAAAGATTAAATTTCAATAGCTTCTAGAAGAAAACGAATGAATTAAATGAGCCAGAGTATTTGACCTCCATTTGGCAAGGAATGCCCAAATCCCAAAAATGTTAGCATTAAAACTAAACTCCCTTGAAAGACCTTAAGGCGAACGAGGAAAAAAAGGTGAAAAATGCCAATAATATTCTATTCGTGCGATAATAAAATGTTTAAATAACAATTAATATAAAATGTTAATTAATTATTAATTGAATGAATTTATGAATTAATATAATATAATATATTATAAATATAAATATATAAATAATTAATGAATGAATTATGAATTAATATAAAATGAGGTTTTAGAATCTTTGTATTACTACGGAATAATATTGCAGAAAAACTATTATACATATTATAATAAACAACGCCAAACCGACCTCCTTTCCCTTGTAAGGCGTCACATCGTGAGATTTAGGAAATCATTGTGATTGCAACTTCCTGGATTCAGCATTTTGACCCATGAATGAAGAGTTGACGACTGTTTGAGTATAGTGATTTCGCAAAACGGATACAGTGGCGGCCATCAGGCCGCGGGAGTTGCAAGTACTCTTTCCTCCGTGATTTATCCGCGGGAAAAGCGCACATGTCTTTCATTACGGCAGAGATTAGGTATGTCCCGACTCGGGAGACGGGTCACAAAATTATAGATTAAATTTAGGAGCATATCTGGCAAGCCTATTACGATATCAGTGTTTTATTTTATTTAGACGTTTTGTGGGTGTTTAATGCTCCACCTCTTCACGTACTGGAAATCATATCGACATCTAAACAGATCCAATATTATATAACCTTACAGAGCAACTGAGTTATAATAATACATACCTAAAAATGCCATACATTATTAAAATATTTTAAAATTCGGACGTAATAATCAGCAACACAAATATAAAACAGCATGGAAGGCGTTCTTGGTTGCGAGTAACAGTAAGCGTTAACAGTAGGTTCATTAAGTAAAACTATTTGAATACAAATTTGTTCCATGAGCAGTTAGAATACAATTCGTTACGAATACGAGTATAAAATCGTTGAAGAAATTGTATGAAAAATTGGTATTTGAACACTAACAAATGGGTTCGAGGCGAAATTCATCATATCACAACAACAACAACAACAACAACAACAACTTCAATAATAATAATAATAATAATAATAATAATAATAATAATAATAATAATAATAATAATAATCATATAATGCCCGTGAATTTTTGAACAAATTTTTTTATAATATATTAAGAAATAGGATTACATGGACTTTGGTATAGTTTCCGAAATTATGATCCCCAAGTTGTGCCTACGGAAATACACATGTCATATTGTTTATCGTATCATTTTCTTCGCTGGGAAGACCCATCCCTTCGCCCCCCGCACGCTACGTCATTGATGGCAACATTCCCTGGTCCTCCGAGGCGTCTCCGGAAGCATCGCTGTCACCGCCTCTTCTGTTGCAGTGCGTCGCCGGCCATCGCGGGGCCACCGTGGGACGGCAGGCGCGAGCTCACGAGGAAGCATGAGCCAGCGTGTGGGTGCGCACTCACAATTCACATCGCGGTGAGCGAACGCCGTATATCAGGGAGTGCTCGCGTGCCGGTTCGCTGGCTGGTGGAGGCAGTTGGTTTGTGCCGCATGCGCGCGAACCCCTGTGGGAGCTAGAGTCGGTGGTCCTGCCTTCGAAGCTGCCCAGCCCTACGACAGTGATCCTGCCTTCGAAGCTGCCTAGTGGTACGTCGGTGACTGTGCCTTGGACTCGTGTTGCTGGGCATTCCAGCGTGCGCCAGCGGCCGGCCGCCTGTCGGTGCAGTGAGCGCCCTTCGCCGCGAGCTCGCCGCGCCGCCGCGCCGCGGCGGTCGCGCCCGTGGGCGCGGGGGAGCGCGGCGCCGGGCAGGGCGCTGAGGCGGGGCCGGGGCGGGAGGGCGCGGAGGCGGACGGCGGCGTGCGGCGGCGCGGCGGCTCAGGCGGCGTGCGGCGGCGCGCTCGGGGTAGAACGAGTACGCGCCGCCGCCGCCCTCGCCACCCAGCAGCCCCCGTACGCGCCCCGCAGCGCCCACGCCGCAGCCACGGCCGCCCCGCCGCCCCCCGCCGACTGCGTCTACTACGACTGGCTGCCGCCGCCCGCCTACTCCGCCGCCTCCGCCGCCGCCGCCACGCCCATGAAGGAGATGGAAGGTAAGTCAATGTACTTTTCTTATTACAGAGTTTTTTTTCTAAGAAGGTCCCCACTTTGAGAGGTTAGAAAATAAATAAACTTCATGCAGGGCAGTGACATTGCTATAGTGAAGCCATTTACAAATGAACTAATAATAAGCAAAAGCATTAATAAGATTATTTTCATGGAATAACCTGCAGTTAAGTTGCAATCTGTGGCCAAGCAGTAATTAGCAAAGCGGTTCCTTAGAGCAATCTCTCTATAGCGAAGTGCCAAGTAAATTCGAGTAAAGGCGGCACGTAATGTATTGGTGAGAGTCAGTTTGCAAAAGGAATTTTCAACTGGAGTGGAGTCAGGAAATTAAGAATGGTAAATTTTATTTCAACAAGAAAACAAACTTACACGTATACGCACTGTAGGAAGAAATCATTACATGTTTAATCCTTGAGATCGCTATTTTTAACGTCCAGGTGACCATGATTTATTTATTTTTCCACATGGACTGTAACATCCCTATGCAGGCGGACCACTGAAAGATACTTACGTTTTAAGTTCGAACTTTTTTAATTTTCCGTTGATTTGCCTGTTATCATAATCACTTAAATATGGTTAATTTTGAATTACCTACCATAACATTTCTTTGTGATTGCAATGTGCCTATGAGCGGGAGGCAGAACAGTTCTCACGAAATATTTGTAAAGATTCAGACATGACGACGCAAGCAGTTTTTATACGTGGCAAGGGTGGTGGGGTTCCTTGGCGTTTGATGTGCCACTGAAGACAAGAGCATATTTTTGTTTTAAACCACTGATTTTGTGTGAGATTATAAAACGCGGCGCCAGATCGGACGCGTCAGTGACGCTATTTCGCGGACCTCAAGGAGAGTGGTTGTCCCAACCCCGTGGGGTGTAGTTTTAGGGGGCATGGTTGATAAAACATTGTGGTAAAAGCACCATACTAAGGAAAATCCCATGGGAGGAAAACTACTGAAAAAGTTGACATGCGAAGAGATTACGAAAAAATGGAAAGGAAAAATAAAGCTAAGAAACGATAAGAGAATTGGAGACTTTTTGGATTTACAAATGTCATATTCCACATATCTTCAACATGAAGCCCCAGCGGTCTATTGAAGGTTCAATTGAAATTTTGCGGCACCCCCTTGTAAATAAATTATACTTGTGATTGTTATTACTAAAACAAATTAAATATCATAACATGAACATAATTAAATGTGAGTGAACTATTATTCTAAGGATACTTGTATTTTATACTTCTACTGCATAAACAACAAATACATGGCAATTATTTTCCCCAATTTTTTGTTTTGATTCAAATAAAAGAAAATATTTTCTAATTATCATTTCCATGCACGAGTACCTCATTCGGGGCTTACTAGTGTATTACGAATACGAAACACTGGTTAAAAAATTATGTAAAAGCTGTATACTGACTCGGAAGTTGCTGACGATCTTGTGAACTTCCAAAAATCTCCCAGAGTTCTAGATGCAACAAAACAATGTTTTTCAGGCAGATGGAATGTTGTTTCGCATAAAAGAATCAAATTTAGGAACAACTTACAGGTATCTTTATTCCTTAAGTTCGTTTATTTTAAAATCCCAATGGGAACCCCATGGAATGTCGTGGATACTACGAATAAACGAAGCATTAAAATCGGATGTTTAGTTTTTAATTATCTTGTAATTAACTAAATACATTTTATTATTAGCTGAGGTTTCGACCAAATATTTTACCACTATGTAGTAACCTGAGTATTAGTTCTTTGTCAGATTCACAGGTAATGAGCAATTCATTTATAAAATGTAGAAAATAAAATTATTAATAGATTACATTACTTGTTACTTGTAGTTAGTAAAGCGTCAGGTATTTATTAATTTGTTACATCTTATGATCAAATTTCTTTTGAATTTATTCCAATATTCAAATATTTTTCACGAAGATAAAAAAAAATATCGAACTTAGAAAAGTCGTTTTCACATTTTCTCTCTTCAAACAGCTCAGTAGCATTTTCCTCCACGCCTTTCGCTAAGGGATTCCTCGTGACTTCGCGCGCGCGCCAATCGCTGTCGCGGGATTAAAACGGCGAGGGCGGAGGGGCGGCGGTGATTAGGCTGGCTAATTCGCGCGCCACACGCCTGCCCTGCAGTCGCCGCCGCCGCGGTGACGGATCGCCGCCTTTTTATAGCGTGGCTGCTCCGCTCCGCTGGGGCGACACGCGGTGTCTGGTTGCGCGACCTACGCGCCGCCCGCCGCCTTCCGCTGCCGAAGAATCTCTTCCGACTGGCGATGCGACGCCCGCGCCAGCGTTTACAATATCATCACTATTCAAAGTCATAACTTTTGTATAAAGAATTCATTATTCAAAGCCGTAATTTTTGTATATTACATTGCTGTATTCAAAACCATAATTTTTGTTTAAAAATATCGATGTATTTAGAAAATTATAAAACATAGATTATTCAAAACCAAAATTTTTTGTATAAAATATCAATTATTTCCAACCATAATTTTTGTATAAAACATCGATTATTAAAAAACAGCAATTTTTGTATTAAATCGATGTTTTCAAAAACAATTTTTGTATGAAAACATTGATGTTCATTGTTATAAGCATCGATGTATTGAAGTCGATGTTTGTTGAATGTCGATGTTTTGAGCTCTATGTTTTTACGTTTTCGATGTTTTGTTCGTGGATAAAAAATTCCCATAATCACAATTTTGTAAAAGTGAAAATATGAAATAATACTGATAGTACTACAGTCTGCGTGCGAAGCGTTTATTCTTTCTCGCTACTGCTTTCGCAGTAGAGAGAAAGTTATAATACGCTGCGCGGAAAAAAGGCGAAATTTCCGCAGACTAAGTCCTTATTGCAGGGTGCTAGTAACGAAAAAACGAATACATCCAGTTGTAAAATTTAGGGGTGGAAAATCTCTTACACGTGGTGTAGTCAGAATTCATGTTTTGTTGGTACTTGATACCGAAAAATCGATTGACGGCAAAATGTCTGTCAGAGAACAACGAAAGTGGCTAAACCGTACAGCGAGTTTTTCCAAAATTGAAGGACATTTAAGATAATGGTGCAGGTCTCACTTTTGTTACAAATTTTGATTTTTCTAAAATTGCAAAACAATTTGTCGACGACTTTCTACAACTACTATTATGAAGATGCAGATTTTTTCCTTCAATGAAATATGTTACTTAGAGGTAGATTTTGAAATAAGGTCATGTACATTTTTTCGAAAATGTGAGTACTTTTCGCTTAATTTTGGGTGAAAGCAAGGCGAAAAAGTACTTGCTATTTTAGCTCCTAGTTTAAATTGCTTTCAGTTAAATTTTAATTATAAAAATGTTTACACGGCCTCAGTCAAATTAAATTTTGATGCGCACAAATTTAATGTCATAGGTTATTAAATCTGCTTTAAATCATCGATGATCTTTATATATTCTCGTGGGGAAGGGTCCGGCACCTCGTGCAGGAGAATTGCAGGACGGTGGAACCAGAAGGTGCCATCCGGGCCGTTCCCTGTTCTATAAACATCCATGGTTTCATTTTGAATATCGTTGTATGGCAACATCGATGTTATCGATGGCGCATCACTACTTCCGACTTTACCAACAGGATGAGGAGAGGGATGTTGCGTTTCTTCGAAAGTTCTGATGTAAGAAACTAGTATCAGAACAGTACCAACATGGGCGCATCTCCGATTGATTGATTGATTCATTCTGTTTGTGGTTTCGAGCTCGTCAATGACTGATCATTAGTTCCATAAATGTGTAGAGTACGATGTATCTCCGGAGGCGGCGGCGCCTGTCCCCCGCTGGAGTGTGAGATCTCGTTCCTCCTGTACGTCGGCTTGCGGGGTATTCTTCTCTCCAGTTAGATCTCCTAGCGGCCAGCCGACCACTCGGGACAAGCTCAAAACTTCCGACTGTCTTTCCGTCATGTGTCTACTACTTCTAATAAGTGAAGTGTGTATGAATCAAGTGATATGGCAAGGATGATGGGGCAAGGATAATGAATGAAAGGACGCGTGCGTTTTCTTTTTGTTAACGACCTAGGGGAATTTACTTCACGGATGCACATAGTATTAGGTATCAATGAACTAGGTATCTGATGAGTAAGTATCTGATGATGAAGGTGGTGATGATGAATTAAAATGTACACGATTAATTCAAGGAATTACAATGAAATAGTGCATAAAAAGAAGAAAATATTGAGATGCGAAATAAGTACACTTGAAACAATTTTTAAATTCTATAGAAATGTGCATTTCAAATTATAGCCAACAGAGAGGTCAATACAATTCTGTAGAGAATAATGTGGTGGCCCCGGATACTGTGAAATTTAAGGCATCTCACTTTATCATTGTGTGCCCTTTTCAACGTATAATCTTTGGTGCGAACACATGTCATCATCGCTTTGTCGAATGGCGCGGCAAAGTATCCCTAGCGGATGCTTCGTGGATTTCCGCCCATACGTTCATCGCACGTGCAAAAACGACACTGAGACAGCGCAGCTGCCTATTCAGCAGTTGTGCTCATTCGGTTTTGTGTTCGTGGAGAGCGCGGTCTTGCAGATTAGTGTTGTTTTAAACATAGATATATTTATACGTGTTTTTAAATCTTCTGGAAAATTGGTATGTGCACTGATCACGCGCTGCATATTCCCCATACGAATTATTATATCACATGTATTTAACTGTAGTATTCGTTTGTGTTTCTGGCAAAGGTGGTTGCTGCGAGAGAGAAAACTTATTCTCGCAACGTGTGTACTCCAGATGGACGTGGGATTAGATCCAAAGAACCAAAATTCAGGAACAATGAATAAGAACGCGATCACTGAGAAACGCCATATTACAGTAGTTCGTCCGCTGCGTGTAATTAAACCGCAGTTGGCGGACGACCCAATGAAGACATTCCGCATTACATTACAAGAATCTCAGAACCATAAAGACAAGACGTATTGTGAGGACGACAATTACTGTGAAGGTGATAATGATTGTGAATGGGATGTTTATTGTGAAGATGATTGTAGTGAAAACTATGGTTATTCTGAAAGTGACGATAACCCTGAGGGTGATGATTCTGAAGGCGAAGATAATCATGAAGGCGGGCCCAGCGCCCGCCGCTCGCGACAGGCAAGGGCACCGGTGCGGCGGCGGCGGCGGCGACAACGCCGGGCCGGCGCCGAGGGAGACTGGTCACCCTCTCGCGCTGCCTCGGGCCGAAGAGCACATCTGTTCCCCGCTGTCGGCCCGAAGCGGCTCCGACGCAGTTGGCATTGCGACGAGATCTGGGAAGCGCTGTGCGATGCGCTCAGCCATGGGGACATGCCCGAGGACGATTTGGGCGACGACGACTATTAATTGGATGTTTCTATACGATTATTACTATTAATGAGGCGAGTACAATCAGTGAATAGTTTCATGTCAGGTTTCGATTTGTGTTACGTAGTGATTGCTACTAACGTGATGATTACGAACAATCAAGACATTTAATATTTTTTAATTTCACATTATTTTTAAAAAATATTCTTTGACTTCTCGGCCTATCAAGTGTTTTAATACATTTTGAAAATTTATTGGACTACGAAACTTATTATAGTTTTTGTGATTGTTGATTAATCTATTGTTTTTATATTGTGCTTTTGGGTATTTGAATACGTACGATTATTATCAAGACGAAAACCCAAAGTGCTGTCAAGGCAGCTTTAAATACGTTCCGTTCGTGTCAGATGGACCGTGTTCTTATGAACAGAAACGGTAGACAGGTTAATTGAACATGAAGGTATTTCTTTATAATCAAAATATACTTAGTTCATAAGGTATTTTCAATATCCGGGAATCACTCTCGGCATAAAATACTTATAATGATTTTGTCCTTTCTTAATTTGTCTTTAACATCATATATTCATTCAATTCCAACTTGAAAAAATGTTTTGTAAATGATACCAATTGTTATGTACTTGTAGATTGAATTAATTAATACTATCATAACCATGATTTGTATTGAATTATTTTCTTTAAATAAAATCATTGTTCTTGCCTTCATTTGAATTCTTTTGTGTATTTCAAAATAATTGAACGTTGTCCTATCTTGAGATGACATTTTATGGTTGACATGAAATAGTCGATATTAATATGATAAACAAACCAAAATTGCGAAATATTTTTATGGAACATGCTATTGACTTTTTCATTGTTTAGCAATTAACATACTATTTGTCGTTTAATAATATGCCAGTTCAGTATTTCCAATTTTTTGACATAAAATATTTCCTGTACTTCTAAATGAATGGTTCATGCTTTTTGGTGACATTTTAATTAGTGTTTTATATTAATATTATGTAATTTATTATAGGGTAAGTTGAGTTCACAATAGGGGATACTGCTCTTACTTGTGTTTTGTCTCCTCTGACATTTTCCTGACATACCGGATGAGGTATATAGCAGGCCGATTATTGAGCTAACGCGAAGTGTGAAATCAACTGGATGGCATTTTAGTGTGGCGTGTATCTCTAATCTGTACTCCTCCGCGGTTCTAATAGCCTCAATAGTTGCACCCATTTTTTGAGAAGCGGTACACATCAGAAAAGTATAAATTCTAGTAACGCAACTTGTCTGCGAAGATGTAAGTTGAAATCGGCCTTATCCATGTGCAGGAAACAAAAGATTATTTTAATTCTTGCCAGAACTGAGGTATACTAAAAATGTTCGTAATTATTTTGTGACGAAGGTGTATTAGCAGATGAAGTAGAGCATGACGAAGTAAAAGAGGTAGGTTGCGGGAGGCACGGCGTGGAGAAAGTGTTTCTGTATGATATCGTAACGTGCGTCCGGAGCGCGGCGCGTGCGGCCTGGGCGGCGCCAACGCCGGGCGCGGGCGGACGCAGTGCCGGGTCGCCCGCACCGCAGACCCAGCCCGTGCGCCTCCGCGTCGGCGAGGCACGGCGCGGCACGGAGCAACGCCTGCCCCCGAATTCGGCCTCGGCACTTCAGAATTCCCTTTCCGACGCAAGCGAAAGCCGGATTATTATTTGTTTGGTCGCCCACGGAATGGACATTCAACTTTATTGTTTTTCGGAAGTTTCCATGTATTTGGATGTGTTGAACAAGTTCTTTTTAAAGAAATTTATGCATTGCAATATTTATGAGTTGTAAATATTTATTGTTTTTTAAAATACACATCACGTGCAAAGGTTTTTAACAACAATTTGCTAAAATGTTCGAAATTCAGTTATAAAATTCGATGTCATAAACAGGAGAATGTAAAAAGGCAATATAATTTGGTAAAGAAATTATACCACTGCACTTCGTTCAAAAAACTAATGAGATGTTTCTATTTTAGAAAATAATCCATTAAAGCGAAGTTGATTTCAATTATGATGCAATTTTATAAATCAAAATAATCTAGAAAGTTCTTTGTTAATGTAATTGCATTAACATTTTTTTTCCGAGTTAATATAAATCAATGAAGGTAGAAAAATTACTGATTGACAATTATTTTTAATATAAAATGTTAGTGTTGATATACTACTTTGTGCTATGTTTTGATTATGCCATTTTTGAAAATAAAATTATTTAGCATATAATATAAACAAATTGTCGATCTTGATTATTTCCTATTATGAGTAGAGAATACGGGAGAGTAATTGAAATGTCCAATTTTTTTATTTTCCAAACAAGGTTGTAAGGTAATAAAAGTTGTAGTCCTAGATAATTTTAAACAATATTTGAAGCTTTTTGGCCTTCTATTATCTTTCTTTCTGTGATCGCATTTGTTATGAGTTTGTCGTACAAAATTGAATCAAATTAATTCTACTTCTAGCTCTTATTCGGCTAATAAATGTGCATTGACTTTTACGGAAATATTTACAAACCTTAACTAAACCTCAATAAATTCAAATTTCAAGTTCATGTTATAATTATAGTTATTGCATTGCATTCCAAATACACTTAATTGTGTATCGATGGTTGTTGCTTAAAAAACAAAACTACAAGAATATATACATGTTGGATATTTATAAACTTTACATTTTGAGAATGGGGAACCTACCGTAAAATGACACCCTGAAGAAACAATGCTCCATAATCTATGTTTCACTTATAACGCATATTTTGTATGCGATTGCTATGAAATAAACAATAGTATAGTTAGGAAAATAACAAGATTTTTAACTAAAATAATGAATATCTTAAAAATACATCAGTGACATTTTATTCTTAGTGTGTGGCTAAAATGATATATGGACCAATTGCGTTCCAAAATCACACTTCTTACTTACATGATTGTCAACATCGCATATGTTCCTACCATTTTTTATTAAAACCAATAATAGCTGTAATAATAACAATAGAAATAAATATTAAAGTAATAGCAATATTTAATTGTCAATAGCAGTTTCAATGATCTCAAGTAGTGTCAAATGTTAGTCAAGAGCGATAATGGTAAAAACAAGGAAATTTTAGAGGCCCTTAATATTCGAGATAAAATGACAGTATGCAATTTTATCCCAGTAGTTGTTATGTAATTTTACTTTCGTATCAAGAACAGTCGTACTGTAAGCAAGCACATGGATGTTTAGGTTATGAAATATGCTGTATGTAATCAAGAAAATATTTACAGACTTCCATCTGTAAGAAACGTATTCAATCACTCCGAAACGATGTAAATTTTCACAGAACGCGGAAACTTCAAGCCCTTTTTAATTTTTGTTTTATTTAATAAAATTTTGCTTGAAAGAACTGCACCCTTTCCCATGCTTCACTGTTAACAACCCCAAAAATCTATCTTGCTCTTGTGAAGTGCTGCTTCAGGCAGCATTTTGGAAAATATGAAGAGTCATTTTACTCCAGGGTCGTCCATTGTAAGTGGTCCAAAATCGAATAAATTGGTCGCTCGACCATCTCGGGAAAAACAAAACAAAAACGCATACATTGTACATAAATTTCCTTATGCTTTGGCTGTTCGAAAACATCTTTATTATTTTTTCTTGTACCTGGCTTACAAATAATGGCCATTTTTGTTTTACGCCGTGCGCCATTCTTCGCGGTGTAGGCACTTACTCTTTTCTGCATTACTCAGCTCTGGATTGTTCTAATATTCTAGAATGGAAAGTATTGGATTCAGAATTTCCTGGCATACAACTCGATATATTATTTACATAATTTCTTGTTTTGGTAAATATTTGCAACCAAATCTATGGAACTCAAATTAACGAAAATGGATTTTCAGAGTGTAATGTATCAAAGAAAGGATAGAATCACAGCCTTAATTTTTTATGTGGTTTTTACACGTAATAGTATAGTTACTGTTTGTAAAATTTCATTGGAAATAAACGAACCACTGAAAATTACATCTTCTTAAAAATTGAAATTTTGCCAAATTTTCAACTGTTATATCTCTATTGGGGAACCAGATAAAAATCTGAAAATAGCAGTCGTGCTAGATCGCTGGGATATCAAACTTCAGAAAAAAATTCAACTTTCAGATTTAATTAAATGTTTGTTTTTTTAAAACCAAAACTTACGCAAAAATGGCTGCATTTCCACATTGTGGATACGTTGTGCAACGTAGTAATCACCTTATATGGAAGTTATTTTGAACTAAAATTTACTTTGATTTAAAATAACTAATTATTCTTTATTATTAATAAACAAAAAAATGGCTTAATATATAATTTTCAATACTACGTGTTCTTTACTTTAAAACGAACTTAAAACTTGACATATACGTTCGTAATTGAAAATAGGGATATCTTGATGTTAAAAGCGCAACCGTCTAATATAAAAATTGGTAATAAAATATAAAAAATAATTTCAGCGTATTTTCACGGACTGAGGAAGCTGAGACTCTTGAGATGACCCTGAGCGCTCAGGATTAGAGAATAAGTTTATTTGTATGTTTTTTTACTTTGATCGGTTAAATTTTAATTATAAGTTAATATCCTTTGGTTCACTAATTATTAGTTTATTAAACAAATGTTCATAATTGTATTAATTTCGTCTCTAAACCATTCCTTCGTCCACCTGCGCTTCTTTTTATCTTTTTTTGAAACCAAAAGTAACGTAAAGGTCACACATCTTCCTGTTTTTTTATTATTCTACATGTTGACTGAAGAAGTGTGAGCGATGAAATAATTTATTGAGCAAAAACAGAGCGTCGTGTAGGGTGGCCATAAATTTTATTATACAATATATTGTCAAATATATTGACATAAATATTGCACGTCTAGGGCAAGGCTGTCCAACTGGCGGCCCGCTGTGCCATTTATTGTAACTCGCGAAAGGTTGTTAGTCAAAGTGAAAGTCCCTTTCCTCCATGTCGATCGCAAAAGTGCTTCAAATAGGGATATATTGAATTCCGAAGTCCTGGAAAACACTCTAAGCGAAGAACGAAAAGAAAAGTATCTGGTCCTCCTGGTAGGGCATTGAGGCGTGGGGTCAGCACCCCATACTCGGAAAATATAAAAGCCGGCCAAACTCACAATGGAATCGAGTCTCGGATTAACTCACGATGTCGTCAAAGGCAAGTCGTCTATAAAGTGGAGCAATGTTCTTGTTCAAAGAGGTGCTGCCTGTGATTCAGACCTCTACTTACTAAAAGGAAAAGGTTACCTCGTGTATAAACCTTACATCAAAAGTTACGAAAACGCAAAACCAAATATACACAAGGTGGAAAAATAGAAAGTCAGATGTGGCCAAGATACACGATTGAAAGCCTTCAATTTGTTTTTAGAAAAATTAAAGTAGAATGCGCATGGCAGTCAATTAAATTTTTGAAAAAATGCACTCACAAAGCAGCTAAAGAAGTTTTGGGAGAGAACGGAGAATGTGAATATAAACAAAAATGACTCGTGGTGGACAGAAGATATTAAGATCCTAGTTGAAGAAAAGAAAAGTTATCGCCTGAGGTGACTTTGGAAGAGTTAAAAAAAGTGTTAAAAACGTGAAAAAAGCCCCTGGGGCTGACGGTATATCCATAGAGCTGGTTAAACATTTTCCTACTGTAGGTTTTCAGATAATTACTGAAATATTCAATGCCATTTTAAAAGGAGGTAAAATGCCAGAAATATGGTAATTAGACTATATAAATTCAATTTATAAAAAAGGCTGTAAAAAGATTGTAATAATTATAGAAGGATAATTGTGATTTCATCTTTGGTTAGACTGTATTAACGTGTTCTAAAGAATGGAATTGAAAAGCAAATATCACACTCTGAAGAGCAAAGTTGTTTTAGGCTATTGCCAATGTTTTCTTTCTCAAACAACTGATGGAAAACGCAATTGAGTGTGTAAGAGAACTTTTCAAAATTTTCATAGATCTCAAAAACGCTTATGATAATGTACCTGTATAAGAAGTAGGAGGGGGGCAATGGAAGTAAACGGAATATCAACAAAATACATAAATGCATTCAAACTACTTTATAAAGATAACAAAAGTCAAGTTAATGTGGGAAAATGTCTATGAGACGACTTCCCTGTAAATAAAGGATTACACGCAAGGCTGCTGTATGTCTCCACCTTTGTTTACGATATACACTGATAAAGCCGTAAAAGAATGGAAAAGAAAGTGCAGAAGTATGTGTGTGAAAATAGGTGATGAAACAGTGTTTAGTTTTATATTTGCAGACGACCAGGTGATAATGGCTGAAGGTGAAGATGTAACTTACAATTTCAGAAAATTAGTTGAAGAGTATGAAAAATGGAGAATGGAAATAAATGTGCAAAAGACTGGTGGTGGGAGGTGTGCTCCATGATTTAGAGACTAGTATAGAAATAATTAAAAGTAATATACAATGTAAGTATTTGGGAGTCACAGTAAGAGCAGATTGTAGAGACGAACAAGATGTGAAAAAGAAAAATATAAGAGGAAAAATAGCCACAAGACAGTTGAATCCAATGCTGTGGATCTCGATTACTTAAATGAAGACGAAGAAACGCATATAAAGCTCCTTCATAGAGAGTACTACATTCTTTGTGGCAGAAGTCTGGATAAAATATGAAAGGCAAACTTCAAGTAACAGAAATGATGTTGTTTTGAAGATAATGTTAACTTTACTTGTTAGACAAATTAAGAAATGATGAAATAAAAAATAAATGAAAGTGCAAACAACCGTGAACTCGAAAAGAAACAACTAAAACGGTATGAAAATTTGAGAAGGTTGAAATCGGATAGACATCCACATAAAGTTTGGGGATTGATATCAAATCGACGAAGATGCGGGGGACGACCGAGAAGAATATGGAACAGGGTAATAACTGAAGCCATGGAGAAAAGAGAAATGGACGAAAACGACCTATGGGATAAAGAAGTATGGAAGTTGGGAAGCGAAAAACGGCTAAGGTTGTAAAAAACCGCTAAATAGATAGAGATACTACAGTTGAAAATCATCCCAATGTGTTGTAAATTTGTAGATTTCCCCTCCCATTGTAGATTTTAAAATCATCCCAATGTACGTATGGTTTAACCTGATATCATGCTTTCGCCTCCCCCACTTCCCGTTTCAGAGCAGCCAGGCAAATTGCCCTGATCAATAATACAGGAAAGTCGGGCGTGGATAGTCCGAGTAATGAAAACATGGCCCGCAACCGTATTAAATGTTGTAGTTGTGGCCCTTCGGGCCTTTGCCAGTGGGACACCTCAGAGTAACTTCCCTGTGTGTTGTGTGTGCGCAGCGTGCCTGCAGAGCGCGGGCAAAGCGCGGGAGGCCGACTACGCTTCCTCGGCCTCGGCGGGGGCGTCCCCGGGCGGCGGCGACCAGACGGAGGCCAACAACAACTCCACCACCGCCGCCGCCGCCTCCGCCACCGCCACCGCGCGCGGCGAGGGCGCCAAGGGCGCGGCCAAGGGCCAGCCCAAGGGCGAGGTGGCGGGCGAGGAGGGCCCCGCCCAGCTGCACCCGGCGCTGCTCGGCGCGTCCGCCGCCCTCGAGATGAAGCCCCTGTGGGACGAGTTCCACCAGCTCGGCACCGAGATGATCGTCACCAAGGCCGGGCGGTGAGTCCTGCTCCGACTCGCTCCTATTGTACTTGCACGTTCTCTACTGTGTTTGTCTCAATCTTAAGATACCTGAGTGGGGGTTACTCCGAACTGAATTATGGGATGTCGAGGGGTTCAATGGTGGTTATTAAACACCGACTGCTGCTTTCTATACACATTGCAGTTCTATGAACAACTTTACAAGATTTTTATATTTTAAATATAAAAATGAGGGGGTGGGGCAGGGGGTTTCTAATTATTTTATTTTTGATCATTTAACTTGATTACGATAATGTTGCCGATTTCTTCACTTTAGTTCATGATGCAAAGGCTCCGCACGTCGTGGGGTGTTTGAGATTCGTGAATAACGTTCACCATCGATTAGCATTGTTTTACTTGTTTTTTGTCAGATAATTAGTTTTTATGTTTTCCTGGGCTGAATTGTTCATTACGTCTTTCCGCGCCTGTTATGCGACACTTTTTCAGTGTTGATCAAGGAACAAATTTATCACTCATTAAAAATTATTCCTAACTTTATCCACTGAATTGTGCTCCAGCGAACTAGCACATCTAGCTGGGGAAAGAAAATGCGAGTGATGCAAAAGTGCTTTCGAAATTCTGAATTTCAACTGCCTCGGTATGGTAAGACCAATGTGGTATCCAGTTCTTGAGAAATCGAAATCTTATTCTCGCCAGCGCAGAGAAATATCGCGCTCCGAAGCTAAGAAAACGTTTTATGGGCATGGCCAGAGATCCCCAGATCGGCGCTGCGGACCCTACCACTAAGAAAGCGACAATTATGGAAATACCGCGTAAGGTGTCGTAATTGGCGTTCACTGCGCGACATTCATGTTTCGTAATTTAATGCATTATCGCCCATTTGGCTCTGTAACATTTTCATTCTGTTATTTAGTTAGTTAATTATGCGTTCATTATCGGCAACCTAATATGGCAACCTAATTTCCGTTCGACAACCGAATTTCGGCAGATAAATGTGGACATGGTGTTTTATTATGAAGAAGTATTTCATAAGCTTGCACCTCGTCGTAATGGCAGAGGAAGGTTTTTTTTATAATTTCAAAATAACTGAGATTTCTTAAAGTCTTTTCGGGAAAATAGTATCATCATGGATGGCATAAAACGATTATAATCCACTCTGCATTTTACGGAGCTATGGAGTTTTTGGCGAAGGCGAAGTTTAACCAAACTTAGAAAACCTGTTAGAAAATAGGTCTCTGGCCTGAAGGGACTAACTTCTGTCCGTACCACAGTCATTCAGAACCTCATGAGGTTTGAAAAGACGGTGTTAACCATCCCCTATCATGAATACACTCTGGCCAGCGTACTCGGCTTTATTGATCTCGGCTAAATCATCTCTAAGTATTCACAAATTTGTTATTCAGTTATGTTTTGTTTAGTACGTTATTATCAACAAAAGTTATACAATTCACAAATGCTTGAAAAGAAATAAAATTTTATGTTGACCATAACTGTGCTCTCATATAAGTACGTTGGTCGTTATTAGGTTAACCGTTAAATCATCTCTCATTTAATCAAGCAATGCTCAACTGTTGTAGATAAAGAGCTTCTGAAAATCGTTCGCTGGCCTCAAAGGACTAAATTCCGTGGCAAAAGAGGCGAACGAGCTGCGCAGCGTGGGTGGGCATGACGAGGGGCGCCTGGGCAGCGTCCGCGCCTGGGCCCCGCGGGAGCCCTTTGCTTTTGGCCGCCCCCTTCCCCGCCCTTGCCCCCGCCCCGGAACCCCGTTACGCGATTGCGATTCTCCTCGCCCCCGCCCCCATTGCTACCCCGCTGCCTTCGTATTGTAATAGAAGCTTATGCGCGCATTTCTGCCCTTGGCTGTCCGAGAGAATGCATTTCGCCTTGAGCGTCTCAGCATGACGCCCGAAATAACCGGCCTAGATGACTCAAGTCATCAACTGATGTCACTACAGTGCCTCTGATCGGTAGGTTCTACGGTTCGAGTCCCGACAATGGCAGAATTTTCGACACTAGCTATATTGCTATAATCGAATGCAGTCGCTGTCTGGAGGAGAATTCTAGTAGACGGTCGCTCTGATCGGTAGTTTTCCGTGGTTTCTCCGATCAACACCAGACGAATGACGGAGCACTACCCTAACAAATGGATCACGGACACGCGCAATCTATCCATCTTCTTTCTTGGCCTTTCCACACCCACCTTACGTACACACATTTACATTAACATTCACTACACCACCACACTTATAGGGAGACCTGTCGGGAGCATAAAGCTTGTCGAGGATGGGGCGGTGGCCCTCTGGTGGGAGATACCTGGTTGTGGAAAATCCCACAAGCCGACGTTTAGGTGTTCGCCGAATCTCGCCAACCAGTAGTGGAAGATCATGGTCACCTACGACAAGCCATGCACTGCCTTTTTTACAATTTATACTAATTACTTACACACTTGTAATAAATACTTACACGTTTATTTAGAATCAAATTTAACAATTTCTTCTCTAACCAGTATAAGTTCAAAACATGTTACTTAGAATAATTCTCTAAAATTTTTGTTTCGCGTGATCTTTGTGAAGATTATTAAATTTAAGTTCAGAAGAAATTGCTCACAAAAATAGATGGTGAGCAAAACATAAAAACAGGTCTAGCAGCAAATAATTTTACATATAAATTCAATATATTTCAAATGCTCTCAAACACAAAATACCCTTTGATATATACAAACATACTGTGCACACTTGTCACTTTCAACATCTGCGAAGGGCGAAGACCAAAAGATAAATTCGCGAGGCCTCTGATTCGTCATGCGCTCTGGGGAGCCGTTCGACCTGGATGTTAATTTGCGAGGCAGGCTGCTCTGATCCGTTGTTTCTGTTCTAGTCCGATACACTGCGGGAAGAAACTGTTGCAGGACCTTAAATAACTTGATTATGGTCCTAGCGCATCGGTTCGTTTCTCAACCCAATGCCATTCCCGTTCTTGTAGATGAGTGGTGAACGGTTTCACCTCATATTACCTCGATAGACTTTTTGGGAAGTACTAGGGCCATGTGGATGTTAATTCGAGGTTCAAATTCGACATAAGCTCCGTAGGAAAAACCTACAAGGGCGTAAATGCAGATAGTGATATGAATCGTTTATAAGCGCGAACGCTTTCAATTCGTTCACGCGCGATTATACATGGAGGTAAAAAACTTGTGGGGCAAACAGGAGGCAAGAAAATGGAGGCTTTCCTGGAACACAGAAAAAAATATGCCAAATTATTTTAAAGGTGTTTGCGCATAGAACGCATTGGCAATTATGCGTTGAATGATATCCAAAATGAGGAATATGTTAACGCGAGATCCGAAGGTCGGACCCTCATCCTCCACTTATAACTGGGTAGCGAAGCGTCATTTCCGTGCGAACTTCGTCGGCCGCGCAAACTGTTTGGCAAACTGTGGCCACGCGGCGACTCATACACGGAATCGACTGCACGCGTGAACGAATCCTATCACAAACTGTATTTCTATCAAAACAATCAGTAAATGAACCCGCTTCGCTGCACGGGTTCTGGAATCCTTCCATTAAAAAATGTCACCGAAGATATCTTGCCAATATGAAAATGCTGTAAACTTCTCACGCACTCACACTCGTGCGAGTAGAATTGGTTCTCCACTGAGACTACTCTAGTTCGCAATGCCACCCGGTCCAGAATGCTCTAAATTACAGAGCGTGATTTAACTGTTTGTCAAACTTCTGTATGTCGCCGAGAATCACCATGCATTTTAAGGCACTAATAGATTGATTTGTATACAAAAATATTGCTCATCTATTGCCAAGGGCTTAACTTGGACAAAGGTATTGCAAAAAATCAATAATAATAAATAAATATATTGGTCCGAAGAGGCAGTGTATTTTGTTGCGCCACTCAGTTGTTTGCGTTACCAACTCTCGCAGCCGTATTATTGGGAATCAATGGTGATACATAGGTCAACATTCATGCAGCCTGGGAATTATATGGCGAAGTTTACCATGGCTCTGGCATTTCGCCCAGCGAGCCAGCGCCGCCGTTGGCACCACAGAACAATGGGTCATTTCAGTCAAATCACCGAGAAAAGCTGATCAACACAGTGGTTCTGAGAACAGACAGGTGTAATAGAGCAACTTATTGCTTTGATGATTAGGATGAAGCTCTAAAGATATTGTTATTAAATAATAATAATAATAATAATAATAATAATAATAATAATAATAATAATAATAATAATAATAACATTGATGTCCGTTAACAGATGTACACCGGCGTTTAAATGCTTTTTTATCGTTTAATAATTGCTTTTAATTTATGAAAAACTTTTTTCTTTGTAATAAACATTTGGCGCAAATGGCATCCAAAATGACAACAAATGGTTCACTAAGACACTGCCTTTAATTTAAAAAAAATAAATGTAGTGCATCTTTTTCCATGTAAAATCTTCACTGTGCATCTTAAGAATTTTTTTCCCACAAAGGTAGTAGGTTTAATGGCGTCTCTTGTCAGAAGCCCCCAAGGCATATATTCTGGTGATGGTAGAATTTAGCAATTCATTATTTTTAAAATCACATTTTGAATATAAGGGTATAACATTTTATCACATTATAAATTTTTTTTTAAAACACAGTGAAATAAAATGTTTTCAAACATCGATGTTTTATTGGTGTGGCGTCCCTAATTAGCGAACACGAAGGAAACCATAAATGCAATTTGGCAATTATATCGCTGATTCACAACCATTTTGGACTTAGCAATCGATTTCGCATTTTATCGCAGATTCATAACCTACACAAATATACTGTACCGACCCTCCAACATGCAATTACTATTTTTGTTTTCAGCGTTTAGTAACATGTTGCATTTTTAGCCATAGCTAAAAATCTACCATCTCTACATATTCTCCCCAGTCCACTGCGTGTGCGTGTGCGAGCTGGTGGGCACGTGCGCATGAGCCGGCGCGTGCGTGTGTTGCAGGCGCATGTTCCCGACGTTCCAGGTGCGCGTGTTGGGGCTGGAGCCGCTGCAGCAGTACATCCTCATGATGGACTTCGTCCCCGTGGACGACAAGCGCTACCGCTACGCCTTCCACAAGTGAGTCCCTCTCGCCTCCAAGAACGCCTTTTCTTTATCAACCCAGAAAACAAAATGTGTGTAAACAAGTTAAAAAAACTGGGTAAGGGAGCGCTGATTGGTTGAAAGTCCTCAAATTAACAGACTTCTCGCGCTTTTCGCGTTGTACTCGTAATAGTTTTGTAGTATATTGCACCTTAATGACTTTTTCTATACTATGAATATACTATATGTACGAGACAATAAAAGGTCTATTTATGAACATTCTGGCAATAATAAACGTTCACTTAGTATCTGCTATCTTTGACTTAGCATGACTGTGCATGCAGGACGTACGTATTTCTGAAGGATACTGATATTGGTGATGTTTTTCATATTATTTTAAGATTTAGAATTCTGAGAAAATAATTCAATGGAACGAACCACAAATTCTTGCGTTTTTTCTTACTTTTTACAATAAATGATGTTTTACATTATTATTGACTTCTAGAATAGTTCCACGGTCATTGAGTTTAATGCATGGATTTTGCGAAGAAAAGTATTTATATTCCGATAGAATAAAATATCAAGGACCAATCTGGTGTCTGCGTGTTTGTGAGAGAGGTCAGTCCTGTCCGTGTGATTACAGACGGTCGTAACTCAAAACGCCGCACAGACAGTCCGAAGCTATTTCCTCGTTCCATCATTTCTCCAGTATATTTACGAAGTTCCCATCCAGCAAGATGTACTCTCGCGGAACCAGAAATAACCTTCCCGCCCCAAGAATCTGCTGCTCGTTCTTTCAGAATAGACGCGATCGTAAAAAATGTTCTTCCTTCTTCGCCAGTTAATTTTTAGCGCCTCCTGCCATTGATTTCCCGCTTATTAATAGGCCTCAGTGAGAACGAAGGACACTCTTTCTCTACAAAAAATGTAAACATTCCTGTTGTTATTTTAAACTTTCAGACTTCAAAGAGTTTCTTAGGTCCTGGGAAATTTCTATTCTGGTTCTAACGTCACACGTTTAAGAATTTGATGGATTAGATGTAATTTTTATTGAATGTGTTTCACTCCCAAGAGCGGCTGTATTATGCTATCACGACACAATGTCAGTCAATATTTAGATATAATTTTCGATTTCAATGTTCAGTATATATGGAAGACTGAGTGAAAAGAAATTCTATTATTTATTTTTGAGGAATTCTATAACGTGATTATTATTGCGGTTTTTGAAAAATGTTCCCATTAGAAAAGCAATTATATTGGTAATATCCATTACATTAAAAAAGTGTTACGTATTTATTGACGATTTAGAGAGATAAATTGAGCATTTTCACGAAAATATACATATACATGTACACGAAAATATTAAATGGTACAAATTCTTAATATACTTGAATTTTTATGAGCACACGTATGTTCATGGCCTGAAGTCTCCATGACCTCAATAAAAAAATCACTTTCAAGTTAATATATTTTATTAAGGGCAGCGGGATGGTGTTGCAGCTCGAGCTGGATCGTGGCTGGGAAGGCGGACCCGGTGTCGCCTCCACGCATCCACGTGCACCCCGACTCCCCCGCGGAAGGCGCGCAGTGGATGAAGCAGGTGGTCTCCTTTGACAAGCTCAAGCTCACCAACAATCAGCTCGACCACAACGGACATGTGAGTCACCACATGGCGCACGCCCTCGCTTCTGGCTCACAGCGCGCCTCTCAATGACGGCTGATAAATGGATGAACGTGTTTTGCCCAGCCACCTCCCTTGGGTATGGAATCTCACCCCGATTTTCTATTTCTTCCCCCCTCACAGAAAAGTAAAAAATACTCCACCCTCCGGGAAGTGAGTATTTATTCCCTACGTGTCGACTATAAAGTTCATTAATGCTTACGTCTAAAGTGTTATATATCCCAAGAGATGGTTCCTCTTCAGCGGGAAACTGAAATTCGGCGCTGACTTACAAGTCTGCTTGCGGGGTTTTCCGTCGAGGTATTTCCACCAGCGGGGTACCTCCTCGGAACTAACTCTCAGCTAGTCTCCCGAAATATGTGGTAGTGTAGTGCATGTGTGTCTGTAAGGGGGTGAGGAGGGGACGAGGATTGGGAAGGAAAGATCTCACGCGGTCTGTTACTTCTTTGTTAGGGTACTGCTCTGGTATCGATCGAAGGAACTCTGGAGAATTCCCGTTCAAAGCACCCGGTGGCGTGAATTCTCTTTCGAACAGCGGCTGTTGTATTCGACATCGCTATGTAGTTTGTGTATGATATCCGTCACTGTTGTAACCCGAATTCTGGGATGTTCCGGTTAACAATGGTGCAGAGGCAATGGTGTTGCCGTTGAGCTATCATGGCCACTACAGTTTTATAAGAAAAAGCTGTCGATGGGAATGGGATGATGTAAATGCGACGGACGATTGAGACGTAACACCTTTCTAGTCGTTTCTGGCACAGCGCAAAGCAATGGTCTGTGTGCGTGTGCGCAGATCATCCTGAACTCGATGCACCGCTACCAACCGCGCTTCCACGTGGTGGTGATGCAGCCACAAGGCAAGGGCGGCGCGGGGGCGGCGGCGGCGGCCGCTGCGGCCGCGCGCATCGAGGACTTCAAGACCTTCATCTTCCCGGAGACAAGCTTCACCGCCGTCACCGCCTACCAGAACCAGAGGGTGAGTTGGCGCCTAATGCACGCGGCAAGGTGGTTTCTGTAGCTACTTGACTGTTCTGGAGACGCCGCGGCCTAAGCGCATGTGCCAACCCCGTTCCGACCGCCATTCTGCGACTTCCAACTTGACACATGGGTTTTTCTCCCATTTTTTTCTTTTTCTCTTAATATCAGATATTCTCAATCGATATTTCCGTAATCTTTACTATATGTTCGATGTGCATGATTGTATATATGTCCATATTCAAGGGCAAATTTTCTTTTAGACCCACATTAAAATGATTATAAAGATGGATGTAAATAAAAGATGCCAAAGAATTGATTTTCAATTGACGCGTTCGATTTTCACTCTTGGGTTTGAACTCTTGACTGAATTGTTCATCCTTATTGGTTTTTTATGTACAATAAGTCCACTTTTGTATTTGTTTTAATGTGGGTCCATCATGAAGAGATTTTGTCTGTGAATATGAACAATGGATACAATGTTGACTACATTTAGACAATTTCATGAACTGTGAGCTCGTTTTTATTCTGTCAGTTTTGGTTTCTTTTTACATCATCAGCACGCAAGAAAAATTACAAGATTATAATTTGACAGGAAATTGTTTTTATCTGACCTGAGTCGTTACTTCGCGACAAAAACGAAGGGTTTTGTTCCATTCCGGTACGCTGATGAACTATTTTCTGTGCGTTTTGCGAGTGAAACTCCTACCTGATAAACACATTTCTTTGCTTTATTTAACGATTTGTGAAATTTTGACACATAATTCTTTCACCCTTTGACGTATTTTAAATTTGAAGTGATATTTCAAGCATTTAAAGACCGTTTGTTCATAAACTTAGTAATTATTTATTTTAGACGGAATATTCTCGAATTCTCGGAACGAGACGGCCGAGGAAGCATATTTTACTAATTCCAAATCATATTAGTTAAACGATAATCATCGAAGACGCCTCTCATTGTGATGTGACGTCTGCGAGAGTCACAAAAATTGTTTACGTTCTCATTCCGATGATCACTTGTTGCAGATAACGCACCTGAAGATCGCCAGCAACCCATTCGCCAAGGGCTTCCGGGACTGCGATCCGGATGACTGGTGAGTGACCCAATCCTCCATCTTTGTTCTTACGAATAAAACCGTATTAATTGTTCGTTAACACTGTGGATAAGAAGATCTGCGAGTCCTGAATCCAAGGGGTTCGAAAATTCCTCCGATTGGATTGACCGTTTTTTTTGTAATAAACTACGAACTAGACCGAACTGGATGGCCGAGGTGGCTAGGAGCGTGTTCGACTCTGCACTGCGGTCCAAACGGTCCAGCGTTAGAGTCCCGCCTTTGGCATGCTTGTTTCTCCCTTGACTCTCATGTATGTATTGTCGCGGAAGGCCTCGCGTTCTGATGACCCACGATCAGAGGAGCTCGTAAGTGTATGAGTGGGTGGTCGAATATGCGTCCCATCAGGACGTAAGGGGTAACCAGCTGGCGGCTAAGTCCTAAAAAAATAAAAGAAAAAGAAAGTGAAGCCAAATAAAATGAACGAAACTATTTGATATACTGAAGATACTGTAATTTGCAGCATAATTTTACACATTTATTTTGAAATTGCGAAAACTGGATGTACAGCTTTTCATTGTTCTTTTTGGCATGCATATGGGAAAGGCAACTTCCTGGATAGGCTGTGCGTACGACAACCCTTCCTTTCCGTTGGTAGTCGAATGCGTCAGCCGAAGACGCTGCATGCCACGCAACGCTCTACTGCCCGCCCCCGCCCCCGCCCCCACCGGATTCCCGCTAAACGCCAGCGAAGGGCTGCGCTCGTTTGTCTTGCTCGCGTTCTGCCTCCGCCTCCCCTGCAGTGTCCCGCCCACCTCGCCCGAGGCGAATGAACCCTTCCGTCTTGCTTCTCTTTCTCTACAGATGTTAAAATGCAGCCTAGCAATATCTTCTAGTTGCACCCTGGGGAACATCGTAAATAAGCGTAATCCCACAACTCGAATTTTTATGTCGTGCACTCATTTACTGAGTGAGTAGTCAATTCCAATCCTGCTGTAGATAAATCTCTGTATAAATATTGCACGATTCCTACCTCCTGACGAATGTTGAATAGACTAGTAATACGACAGGTTGACATCTTGTCAAACTTACTTGACCATCTAGAAGAGACCTAGAATGGGCACAAAGATTGAAAGATGTACAAACTCGTAAATTTGAAACATGTTTAAAAATGTGATATTGGTTGTCATCGCGCCACATTAGTGTATTCAATATATAGATTATCTCAGACTCCTTAATTTGAAAATTCATTGTGATATTACTAAGTTCCGGGTCACCAATGGGAACATATATTTCAATACACCCCATTTGAAATGTAATGAAAACATACGATAATATGGCCGGCATTACGTAGACATATCGTGTTAAGAAAATTCACTTTGTAAAGCTGAACATTTTTTCGGACTGTTCCACAAAACTAATATTCGAAAAAAATCATCGTTCATCATCGCTGTTTTCCAATATTCCTGGAGTGAAAATATTTTCTAAAAAATTAACAAGATTTGGAGATGGTGGCATCGCTTTCGTCTTTTCTTTATTCCTCTTCTTCATTTCTTCTTCTTCCTGGATCTTTTTCCAGTGATTGACGGTATGTGTACCCTCTACACCTAAATGAGGTATATTTCAAAACAATTTATCATCAACACACTCGTGAGATATTGTAATGTGGAATGAGCCCTAGGTGGCAAAACACTGAAATAAGTTAAGGGGCGAATATAGGTGTGTGTTTTTCACTTTCAGTGTCAGCCTGTTTTCTTTTTGTTAAAAGACCACCCTGTCGTGTGTGAGGGTCCCCAATCTGGGATCATGAGAGCTTCTTGGTAGGTGGCAGCTGGAGAGGGGGAGACGTCGGGTTCTCGCCTTCTTCCCCGCACAAGCGCCGTCAACCGCTTCGCCCAGCCCTGGAACGCTCTTCTCATTACCCCTCACGTTGCCTCATTAACCCTCACATGTACCATAAGGACAGGCATGGACGTCTAGGGCAGAATGCGAACTCGCGATCCGACATACCATACCAGTACACATTCTACAGCCTTCCAACCATCCAGGTCGGTTTGAGTGATATCCAACACCATGTCATGTTTGAGTGATATCAATTCGGAACAGGGGGATCGGGTGGGGCCGAATTCTCGTTTTACTCTCCTCATTCTCCTTCCTCTTTCCCGCCCCCCTTTTCCCTCGTACCACAGCTCTTCACAGCCTCATCAAGCTGTACGCGAACCACGGTGTGCAGATTTCAGTGGGCTGCGTTAGAAACTTTTATCCAGGCCTCAACGTAGGGCGCATCAAATTTCTCTACCATCCTGGTTCATTTTATCTTGCAACCGCAGACATATTTAGGGGACTCCCGGACAAACAGAGGATTTTTGTGGATTGGTGTAGCCAGAGGGGATGGTCCCCTCCCCCACCCCCGCGCACACACACACACACACACACGTACACTCAACTCCACACCATCCCAGCCCATTTCCTCTTCCCTACATACCTTTCTCCTGTTTCCTTAACTAATCATTTCTTCATAAAGTCTCATGCTCATCACATAGGCCAAACATTCATGTCTACGATATTCGAACCCACGATCCTTTGTACTATGTCTTTGAGTACAAATTGTAGGTTCCTGACAGTTCTTTTCGGTCACACTGTCGTGTGTGAGTGACTCCCACCCGAGCCGGTGTAGGGGAACGCCGTGGAGGGTGGCAGCGGGGCGTCTCCGGGGTCTCGCCTTCCTCTCCTCCCCCAACCCCCAACCCGCCCCTGCCTCATTACGCGCCGCGCCCTAAGAGCGCCTCGCCGCTAAATTTACAGGCGCCATTAAAAGGGAATAAATCGCGATTAATTGAGTGTTTAGACGGGCGAGGCGCGGGCCGCGGCAGTCGCGAGGCGTGGGAGGAAGGGAGGGAGGGGCGCGCGAGGGGCGATCGACGGGGAGGAGGGGGGGTGGTCGCCGGTAGTCGCGAGCACACATGCGCGGGCTCCAGTCATTTGTTACCCCCGCAGGCGCGCGAGGGGCTATTAATTCTCTGCCGAGCCGCTGCCGCCGCCGCCGCCGCCGCTGTGCCTGGCGCGGACCCAAGGCAAACGCCCCGCAGCGCCGCGCCGAGCCGCGTTGCGCCGGTGGCACACGGCGCCAAACCCACGAGCAGGGGCAAAGAGCCACGCGGCAGTGTGCTAAGTGCAGGCGGCATCGAAAATGAAACAACGATGTTACTAATACATCGACCAAAAACCATCCCATGATTTCAAGCTGAAATGAATTGAAGTCACTGCAGTGCCTCTGACCGGAAGGTACCAGGGTTCAAGTCCCGACGATGGTAGGAGTTTTCGATACAAGGTGGATAGCTAGGTTCAATTCAGCCGCTCTCTAGAGGAGACTTATAGCGGCTCGCTGCTCTACTAGGTGGTTTCCGTGTTTTTTCGGATCCACAGCAGGCGAATGCCGGAGCAGTACCCTAACAAACGGACCAATCTTTCTTTCTTCATCTTCCTCGTCCTGTCCTCACCTCTTACTACATCCTCCCACACACTTACTTACACTACACCACCAATGTCGGGAGACCAGTTGGAAGCTTAGAGCTTCTCCTAGCTAGGGCGGTGCCCCGCTGGTGGAAGTTACCTTGTCGGGGAAAATTCCGCTAGCCTTCGTGTAAGTCGGCGCTGGATCTCATCAGCAGTGGAAAAAGATCGCCACCACTGCCCGGGTTAAAACATGCACTACTGGCATGGGACGAATTACAGCAAGTTGACTCGTCCGAACGGAACACGAAATAATCAGTCAGATAGTCATTAAAGCTTGTGTGATTCCTTGAATATTACATTCGTGCGAAACTATTTAATTTGAATGTGTCAGTTTTTATTAATTCATAATTTAATGTAACTAAAGGATTAAAAAACCAGAACAGTGAACAAAACACTGGTTGAAGATAGCTTCACTGAAATTTTGTAGTTGAATAATCCATATTCTCAGAGCTTTCCCCTCCATATGTTTTAACTATTCAGGTAGCTAATTAATAAGAGAGTATTTAATGTATTAGTGCTTTCATCTATTTTTTATTAATTATGTGATTTGTGTGACTTATTATCAACATTTTAGGATTTCGATCATTGAGATTTTTAATGATTGTTTTCCCTACGAAATGTTCTTAAATCTTCTTTCGGGATCGTCTAAAGATACAATTATGAGCCAGTTTCCACAACTGTAGGCCAAATCAGTTTAAGAGACAACGATGGACCCGAGGGATGGTGTTATTGTTTCATAAAACAAGCCTAACCTGTCGTTTTATATCCCGGTACATAGTTGTACCATTTGACGGTAAATCTGAGGAATTCAATCTTGTGTACTTTTAATTCCGTTGCATCGAGCAGTGAGAAACACTGAGCATCGTATGCGTCGTTTGTGTGCCCGCAGCGGCGTGGAGGGGCTGAACCAGCTGCAGCTGGGCTCCTTGCACGGGAGGCTGCGCGCGTCGCCCGGGGCGGGCGTGGGCGCGCCGCCCCCAGCCCGCGCCTACACGCCGCCCGCCGCCGCCCCGGCGCTCCACCCTCGCGCCCCGCCCTTCGCCCTCAAGAGCGACGCCCGCACCCTCGAAGGTGAGTACCCCTCCGCCGGCTGCAGCCGCCCCATGCTCCTCGATTCCATGTTTCTAAACATCGATGTTCAAAATTAAAATATAAATATAAATTAAAATATAATGGTAGAAAGTATTGACCCCAAACAATCGATGTTTTTTAATGTCGGCGATTTTAAAACCAAAAGCTTAACTTTTAGTTACCATTTATATTCGCGGGGGGGAGGGGTCATTTGAAGATGGTCGCGTTCAGCAATTTTTAATTCAGATTTAAATGTCAAAATAAAAGCAAAAATGATCAGGGCAATTAACGAAGATAGATTTTCTGATTCGATAATTTAAAAATAATATAGACTGCATTTATCGACACCTCTTATTCTATCATTTTTCATCATTGCTCACTTTGGTCTGAAGATTGTCCAATTTATGGATATCTTAAAATTATCACAAGTCTTTATTATGATTGCAGTTTTCCTGTCAAAAATATAATATCAACTACGTAATAATATTTAGCACAAAACATTGATGTTTTAAAAGTATCCGCTTCTGAAAGTTTATGTATAATGCATCGGTAATGTTATAAAAACATTAATGTTTCGAAAACATTGGCATTGATGTCGCATCTCTACTTTTCCCAAGACGCACGGATCGATTTTTGGTAAGGTCACTTTCTGAAAAGCTTGGAAAAATCAGAGAGTATTATTGCTCTGGAGAATTCTGGGAAAATCTGGAAATTAGATGCATTGTCAGAAGTCATTGAACATTTTTAGAGAGAGTTATAACTGTAGATATTATTTCTTAAAAATTAGTACAGCGTTATTTTTTGCTCAATTTTTGTTTGTTGGGGAAATATTATCAATTACTTCGACAGGGAAACTCAGCTTATCAATTATTTGAGTCTTGTCTTTAATTTATTTTAAAATAAGTGTAAAATAACATCTCTTTAGGGAAAAATGAATTAATGTACTCGAGTACCGTGAAAAGTCAGAGAAATTTGTTCCAAGATAGAAGTGACCACCCTATCAGCAAAAATCGAAAAATAGAAGGCAAGTAAGGGAAATATAAGAGCGGAATATGGGCGGCTCAGAACAGTGATTCACTGAATTTTCGAATTATGAAACAGTTCCGAACGTTACGGAAGACTGCATTACTCTGCGAATTGGGTTTTTCCGTTTGTTTTAGTTTTGAGATAGTTTTGACAAGTGATTTAGTTTGTTCTGACGCTGTCTCTAAAAATAATTTGATATTTATGTATAAAAATATTTAAATAAATTTTCTAATTGACAAATTAAATGGGGATTGCAAGTTGTTCAACGTTACCTTCAAAGGTACACGCATAGTCCGCACCACCGAATCATTTCAATTGTATGATGTCTTGAATTAAACTCACATCTCAACTTTTAACCAAAGAATATTGCATGTCAATATTATCTTGTTAAGTATGTTATAAAGCGCTCTTATTTAACACTTACAGAATAAATAAATTATTTCCAAGCAAACTTTCTCTAGTTTGTGGAATGAGTAAACAGTAGAGAGTAAAACAGCTTCCAGCACAATTTTACTAATCGTGAAATGCATTCGAATCATTTCAGCATGTTACCAACTGGCCACGCCTTCAGTTTAGTTTTGTCTGTCCAAAAAAGTCAAAATAATTGTTTACATGACTGTACTCAGATTATGTACAGGAAAAACGCAGGGAAATCTTTTTTATTTTTATTTTTATTTTTGCATGAGTGAAAGTTAACGGTCACTCGTGGTTCCGGAGGAAATTGACATGTAATTCACGAAGGCTTAATTAAGGGCTTGCTTAGATATTTCCATGAAGTGAAGCATTCTTAGTTTGTGATCTACTACACTAAAATATATTTTAATTTTGTGCGATGAGGGGACTGTTATAAGGAGGGAATATTTTCATGTGCATGTTCTTATGGACAAATTAATCAGTTCCATGGAATAACTACGTTAATGATTGCTACGTCATCACTGTACTCTCATCACTATTTTCCAAAGGAGGTTGATCACTGGTTATCTGAATGCCTTTTTCGTGCATTACAAGCACATTTCGTGCAATCAGAGGTTATAAGATTAGATGTTATTCCTTAAAACATTTAGTAAAGCACCATTTTTGCTGTTTCTTGTTGAGAAAACATTGTTAATTTCTATTTTGTCATAGTAAAAGAGGAGAGTTGTCCAAGAGGTTTTTTTAAAAGTAGTGTGAAATTACGCGTCTTAAAACAAATGCCCGTGAAACTTGAGAAAAGTCGCGGAAATTTGTTCGAGGGAATGAGTGTCAACCCTGAATTCATAGATGTACCAGTATTTTTAACAACAGTGCCACCCCCCTGGGGACCGTGTCCCGCCGGGTTGACCCGGACTCCGACCTCGGTGGGCGCTTTGCGTCTCTGCGCCCGGGTCCTAATGGAAGGTCTCGCCCGGGGCAGGCGCGGCGCCAGCGGCGAGTTGTCCGGCGACGCGATAAATCTTCGGCGCAGCCCCAGGGCACCCTCTCGTCGAGGATTCGACTCGGTCAGGTCTTCATCGAAGGGGCCCTCCCTTGTCAATTATGCTGCACTTTCTTTACTACAAAACCGTTTGGGTTTGACACTGGATCTATAACTTGGTAGAGTTAAGCCCAGAGGAGAATTCTAGCAGCCTTCTGCTCCGATCACTGCAAGTTAGCAGTAGTTTCTATGATCGGTACCATGTGAAGGCCGGATCAGCATCCTAACAAAAGGTCTACGAACCTCGCGTTATCTTTCCTTCATGGTTATCCCCTCCTCTTCCTGTGTGTGCACGTATCTTGGATGCATGATACTACCACGCAATTCGGAAACCACAATGAGATCTTACTTAGACTGTGTCTTGGTTTGGGCGTTGTCCCGCTGAGGAGATATTGAAGGAGAAACCCTGCAAGCCGACGTGCAGTTTGGATCTCGTGTTTCAGCGCAGAAACATGGTCATCTACTGGTGTACACCCACGGGACGAAAGATGGATTAAGATTATGGTAATGCTCCTAGTTAATGCTCCCGATGACTGCTGACATGGCAACGCGCTCCATCTAAGTCTGATTTTAGAAAAAAACTTAAGTTATTTATTTTTTAAATTGTGAACCCATAGGTCATCGTTGTTTCACGGAATGAAGTGAATTTTAGTTACGGAAAGGGCACCAAGTTTAAACAAAAGGTTACACTGTCTCGTTTCTGGAAACGTGTACCGAGGGTAACAAGAAACAAGAAATTGTGAAGAACCTTCGTTTGTTCTTCGTGGTTTCCCAATTTCAATTATACATTTAATAATCGTTTCGGTTAAACTACTGAAATCTTTTTTAACAGTTACGGTTTCACTTTAAGGCCTTCTTTAACAATGAAGTGACTATATTTCTAGTCCCTCTGATCGTTTTCCATAAAACATTTCGATTTACGTGTCATATTTTAGCAGAAAATCATCAATAAAACATAAGATAAGAAAAAATATTACATCAATAATATAAATAAATACTTGCACATTTGAAATTAGTAATGTTAACCATTGAAGGGGTTGCTATACCTCGATGATTTCGAGAGCCTCCTCCCCTCGTCTACCAATTCCTCAAATTGTCAGCTTAAATAAAGTGGAAAATCAAAATTGACTGTACTTAAGAAAATAAAAATCTTCATTAACCGTCCCCTTCCCCTGTCCCCTTTGGGCGCATGCCTGCGGCTACATTTCATTGAGTGTTGGCTTCATATGAACGGAGTCGCGGAGCTGGCAATGTCTCTAGACCAACTGTGCGCAAGTCACCGGATTATATTCTGCTGCCTCCGGACGTTAAACATACAATATTTGAAGAGACATCATTTTAATTTCATATTCTTTAGAGAAAACCCGATAACGTTGGTGAAGAGACATTCAGTAAATCTACCGCTCGAAAAAGTTATTTGAGAAGGATTTCATTTTTCTTAACATGTTTGTGCTGAACTGTGCTGATTTGTAAGTTTGTCTCTGAATTTTTAATTACGTTCTTCTACCCCCCCCTTCCAAAAAAACAACCTAGCGTGAGTTTCAATAGCTGTAATGTAAGTTTAAATATAGTATTGGTCTCCGCTTGGCGAAGGCAGCTATTGACTTTCCATTACAGTATTTTCGCTACACCCACTGACGTTTTCCGAGCAATTATTTTCGGATCACTGTTGATACCCCAGTCACGAGTCGCTGCTTGGGGCATTGGCACGAGAGAAACAAGCCCCCTCTCTTTTCAATTCTCTGCCGGAAACTTCACAAAGTTACCGCGCCGCAAAAGACGGAGGAGATAAAAATTTTACGAGTAGTTTCAAACGGAGCGTACGAATAGTTTTTAATGGTTCCACGAATTGTTTTCTAAATGCTGTTCTTATCGTCAGAGTAAAATTCTGATGATGAAATATGAGAATTTTTTTTAAAGTTTTAATTTTTCGTGTTTTTATGACTTACATTGACACTTATTCATATTTATAATTAATATGAATAATTTTAAAAAAATGTTCTCATTTCTGAATTATGGTCTTAAACATGTTATGTATACAATCAATAACGTTTCAATTTTGTTATCTATCATGTACGAGTTACAGAAATTTACCTTGTACTATAGAGCGTAGTACCAATTATGTTATGCTGTATTTCCTACATTTTTATCCGGAAAGATCGCCTCGGTTTTTGCCCTTTGTCTTGTTAACTTATTTCGCTTCTAACGCACTTGCTTTCATTTCTGCCCATTCCCTGTCGTTGTGTTGATTCTTTGGAGTTGCTCATATGAATTGATCTTCTAGACTACTTGAGGAGGTAAGATGTTTCGATACTATTGATATGTTTAAGAGTTTTGATTATTTTACTCTTGAAATCGGGGTGGCCCCGTTCTGGAAAACTGGATGAAGTCAGGAAATTTCATTGCTCTGGAAAAGTCGGCGTTGAACTGACCATCTGCGTTAATAGTGTTAGAGTAAGATATAGAGTGGGATTAGGATACGATACGAATTGTATATTACCTACTTTATCTTCTCGTGAATTCCTGTCTTCCCTTTTTTCCGCCGTTTATACGGAGGCAGAGTGGTACAGAGACAATCGGCTGCCGGGATTATGGTGGCAAGTGGTTGAGAAGTCTCATGTAAGATGTTCATTTGCCAACGTTTCCTCGAAACGAAATGCATTGTATGGATAACATATTTTCACAAACTCTTAGGGTTCATTCGCGAAACGCGAACATCCTTTTGGGAGAGAGGGATTGGTTGCGTTATTAAGATATTTCACGATGAGGGGGGCAGAGGGGAGGAAATTAAAAAAGTACACTTTACTAGACATTTTGTACAATAGACAAGATATATGTCTCAAAAACACGTTTTACTAATAAAAAGAATGTGGGTAGGTACGTATATATTGTATTATATTTTTCTTTATCCACCGTTTAAACGTTTATCATACAAATTAAATTGCATTTTTGAAATTCTTAATTTTTTGGAGGAAGAAGGTCATGCAATCCATTGCCTACCCGTGCATACGTAAAATCTGCGAACGATGTCATTCTGTTCGGATGTCGGATGCGATTGCAAGAGGGTAAAAATTGAGCAATACCTTATTTAAGCATAGTTTATGTAAAAACATATTCGGGTCAAAATAGTTGCGTGACGGCAAATATTTGTTGGTTATTTTTCCGTCTTTTTAAAGAGCCATTTTAACCGTTTAATGCAGTACGTGGGGTGAATAAAGTATGGATGACGATAAAGACTTAAAATAACGCGGCACTCACGGTACGATTTGACTGCTTATTTTGTTTTACCAGGCGCCAACTGCAATGGACATTTTTGCGTATGATATCCCTGGAGGCTCTCCCGCACGACTCGCGATAAGCAGTTCATTAGTTACCTTTCTTCGGCATTCGCGTGACATTGGTCGGAGCAGCCGGCCGTTAGAATTCTCCTCCAGACAGCGGCTGAATTCGAAATTGGGAGTATCTAAACTCCGCCCCTGCTGCGCCTGGATGATCTTTGGATTTCCCGGTCAGAGACGCTGTAGTGGTAACAGTTGTTGCCCGACGCTATCTCAGCACGGGACAGAAATGGCGACCGGCGTTGAAGGGATAATAGGTAGTTCGAGCACCATCGAACGTTAAAGTACGATCGATCTTTTGCGCAGTTGAATTTTCGCATTACTTAAGTGCATCTGCGCATGCCCAGAAAACCGATATTGCTGCCGCTATGGCGTGCACAAACCCCCTAATATTAGGGACTTTGTGCCACCTCGAACGTAAAGCACTATCGATCTTCTGCGCATGCGCAGTTTAAGTTTGCATCACTTCAGAGCATCCGCGCATGCGCAGAAAACCGATATTGCTGCCGCTATGGCGTGCACAAACTCCCTAATATTAGGGACTTTGTGCCACGTCGAACGTCAAGCACTATCGATCTTCTGTGCGTGTGCAGTTGACGTTTCGCATCACTTTAGTGCATTTGCGTGGAAACTCGATAGTTCTGCCGCTGTGGCATGCACAAACTCCCTAACAGTCGTTCATCTCTTGCGATCGTCCTCTTCGCCGTCGCCTGCGGGGCGTACTTATCCCTGCGGGCCGAGGCGAGCCGACGGCCGCTGCGGCGCTGCTTTCGGGCGCGGCGCCGTCTGCGGCGGAGGCTGTCCCGCGCGTCATTAATAACGGCGGAGGCTCGCGGCGCCGGGTTTCAAAGCCCCGCCACGCCTCGGCGCCCGCGTCGGGGGCGGGGACCGGGGAGGGGAGGCGGCGGCGTGTAGCGTTCGCGGCCCAGCGCCGCCACCTGGGCGCGCGCCAGCCCCCCTTACCCCTCCCCCTCCCCCCGCGGTGCCCCACTTGCCATTGCGCGGGGGTGGGCCCTCAGCGCTAACGCCGCTGGATGTGGAATATGCAGCATCGGCTTTGCTCGAGTTCAGGGTGGAGGTGTAGAGAAACAATGTGTTCGGGTGAAAATTACGAAGAAAAGGCTGGTTCATTCACTATGTAACGAAGTTTTCCTGCGGGGTTGATTTTGACCTTAATTGGTACATTCTATTTTTTCTCTTACATTAGAAGGATTAGAAAACCTTTTGAAACACGTAATATTTTTTTTAACTTTACCAATACCTCTGATAGTTGTTTTAATCTGTATTAGAGCACTTAAAATTCAGTGGTGTGTTTGGTTTCGTGTATTGGCATTTGGATACTTATTTGTTTAAAACAAAAATGTTAAAAAGTAAGCTAGTTTTTTGTAATGCAGTTATGGAAAAACCCATTCTGGAGTCTAAACAGTCATCTGTAATAAATGTTTTTTTAAAAAAAATTTGAAGGCAATTCGTAAATTTGAATCATCAATCGTTCATAGAAATATTTTTATATACTCGATCTTTAAAAGAATGTTTTTGTGGGGTAAAGACTTTCTTGCACGGTTCCTTTTACAACATTGTTTCCAGCGCTGAGTTTTAGCATTAATAACTAGGTGACAGAGCGCCGGAACTAGCACATGAAAGTTTACCATTTAATTTCTCGACTCCAATTCCCATTGGAATTAGTGTCGGTCAGTCCATGTGCTGATATATTTTTTTGGTATTATTATTTGGTCACAGTAAACATATTTTTGATATGTTCTTTGAAATCCAATGAGCCCGAACAATACCGGCAGAAAGCGTTTTGCCAAGACGAATGCGAAGTTCATGCGCATTTTTCGCCTTCCACGCATGGTTTAGCCAGAGCTCGATGCCTAGCACGTTACACTAGGAACACCAACAAGAAGTCAGGAGCCTAATTAGGATATTTATTTGATGAGCTACTCGTTATGTGACAGTTCAGCGCAGCATGGACTCTGACCCGTCTCCTCTGAGCATCTGCCTGCGAGTTCGCGAGCTGACCTCGACTTCCGTGATTCTCTAAAGCGGGGGAGGGGGCGGCTCTTCCGGGTGGTCCCAGGCGGCGCATGTGCGCACGAACGCGTCCCGCCACCCCTCCACCCCCAACAGCCAGATTCGCCTTCAGGGCGACACTGACAGAGCGTCTTCCTAGATTAAAAAAATCACGAAATCAGGGAAATTATGTACCATTTTTCAATGTAGCGTAGATAATTAGCATTAATCGAGCATTCATCTTAATTAATTATTTTAATCTCTATTCAACTTCTTATTTCAAATCTATTTGAGAGAAGGAATAAATGTAATTGTTAGCTAATTACAATCTTTTGTAGTGATATTACCCACTAGTGATCAATCTTTGGCACCATACGTTCATAAATATTGTAACATTTTATCCAACAACAATCAAAACATTTAATATTTTATTGAACTTTCAACTAAGACCTATTTCGCAAATATATAGCCTACGTTTAAATTTTTTTATCTCTTTACTTCCAATCGTAAGCCAGTACCTTTTTAAGTAGAACTGTGTCAGAATTGCCTAGTTATGGGAGCAATTTGTAATTTCTATTACTTTTTATATGCTAAAATCATTATGGATCACATCGTCTGGAACGTACCTAAGAGCTCAAACATTTTTCCAAATTAAATCAATTTTCTTCCTCTTAACTGTAGACGTAATAAGCAGTAATAAGTGATGAATGAAGATGTAATAAGTGAACGAGTGTAAGTAGTGTAAAAATACACGTTGATACAAAATAATAAATCCGTGTATCCTACATGGACTAATGAAGCTCCAATGTATGGAGATGTACAACTGTGTTCGCTCGCAGGGGAGGAGGCGTCGCCACCGCCGGGCGGGGGCGGGGCGGAGCTGGGCGGGGGCGTGGGGCCGCTGCCGCCGCCTCCGCCGCTGGGCCAGCCCTACTCGGGCGACCTGCCCAACTACGCGCCCGTCTTCCACCACCCGCATCACCACCATCACCACCACCACCTCGCCGCCTACCACGCAGGTAAGCTCCGCGCGCGGAAACGAATAGACATTGATGGTTCTTGTGTGAGGTCGTTTGCCGTAAGAGTGATCCTGACACAAAGCTATTCTGGTAAAATGGGTTTATTGATATATGTCAATATGTTATAAGTTCTACGACTTCTCATTAGTCTCGTGAATATTTTATCCTGCGAGAGGTGGCGATGTCTCACCAACACTGGAAGATTAGGATATTCGCCGACCCACACGTTCACTTGCGCGAGATTCCCTCTTCCAGATATCTCTCCCAACGGGGTACCGCCCCAGTCGGACGAGTTATAAGCTCCCCAATCGTCTCGATATGTCGGGTAGTATAGTTCTTATAAGTGTAAGTGTAAGTGTAAGTATATACGAGTAAGTGGTGAGGAGAGGACAAGAAAAAGGAAGACCTAAGGATCTGCACCTTGAGACCTATTCCTTAAGGTACTGCTCCGGAATTCGCCTAATATTGACCGAAGAAACCAAGGAAGACAGCCGTTAGAATTCTCTAGACTGCAGCTCGCAGCTATCAACGTATGTCGATAATCCGTCACCATCAATACCCTTAATACAATTGGTAAGGGAGTCATTATATACATTCTTTGTGTTTAATGTGTACAAATAGTAACGAAAGGAGATACCCATTTCAAAACAGTAGGTTATAAAAAGTGTAAATATTTTCAAATAGGAAAATTGACAATTGACATTTTTAGAATTTGAGTATTCTATTATATTTGAATTTTTTTAATTGCTAAAAAGACGTGACATTTTCATTAATAATAAATAACCTCTTAATTGAACAAAAGTATATTAAATCAACAAATTGGAGACGAAGCTCGATAAAAAACACATACTTTCCCACATTATTTCTAACTTCTGTTTTTTTCATATTCAGTGAGTTTAATGAAAATGAGGCCTGTGCAACGATTGAATCTCTTTTAATTTCTATTCTAGTAAAAAATTAAGAAAAAATTGAAGCAGTTTTTAGAATGTTTTAAATTATATACCGCCTTCGAAATAAAAAGTTATATTTTTAGCCCAGTTTTTAACGAAAAATCTCTACTATCATACTACTATGCTGGTAGTTGTGGGATTAATTTTTTTTAATTTTCGAAATTACAGGGAGTGCAACAAAAATGGGACCTGCACCATTTTTAGGCGTGTTTTGTCCTATTCCAAGAAAAAAAATTTTTGCATTTTTTGAAGAAGTAGCTGTTTTAATAGTTGCCTCCATTTCACGCGAAATTACGTGAAAATCACTTTTATCGCGAAAAATACACATCTCATTTCCTCGTTATCGAAGCTATTGATTTGCCCCGTTTCAATTTATTAATGATATTTCTAATCTCATCTATCCCGAAATCCCGCGTTTCATCCGTTCTCCCTCTTCTTTGAACTTTCTTCCTTCTTTTGTGATAACTCTTTGCAACGAGCCCTCCAATCATCTACAATAGTTTCTATCTGCCTCCTACCAGCTCCCCTTTCTCTATCACCATAGTTGTGCTTGTTTTCACACCATCTACCTCGCTCGCCCTTCTGTTAAGTTGATTTTCCTTTTAATTTCTCACAATGATATATATATATATACACAGTAAAGAGAAATCATTGCAATGATTCAGCGAAAGGAAGCGATTTTTCGTCAGAAAAACTCGTGTTCTGGGTTGATATCGACAAATTAGATACACCTTGTTCTTCTATATAATATTCTGTATAATTTCTAAATTCTTTTAATTCTATATAATAAACAACGTTCTATAACACATTGGGCAGACTGAATCAGTGCTAAACCTGTCTGTCTACGTCTTTCAGCCCATCTATATCTGTCCGTCGGTCTGTGTCAGTCAGTCTTATTATTAAGTCGTCATATTTGACCACATTTCAGAAAAATTCATCCTAAAACAGTGCAAGGGACCCTCGACCCGCACGACTGGTTCAGGGCATCATTTCATGTCACTGTAGTATCTCTGACCGGCAGGTCTGCACCTAAGGTTCGAGACTCGACGGCCTCCGCTGGGGAAAGACTTGGACATTTTCAGTTAGATAGTGGTAGATAGCTAGGTCGCATTGAGCCGCTGATTCTAGCGGCCACCTGCTCTGATTGGTAAGTTTTCGTTGTTTCTCTGATCAACCCCAAGCGAATACCGGAGCAGTACCCTAACAACGCATCTGGCCGTGCGCAATCTTTCCTTCCCCTTACTTGTCCTTGTTCTGTCCTCACCACACACACGTGCACTACAATACCGTTCATGTCGGGAGTCAAGTGGAGAGCTTAGAGCTTGTCCGGGCTCAGGTGGTGCCCCGATGGTGGGAGATACTTGGTTGAGGGAAACCCCGCAATCCGGCTTGTAGGTCGGCGACAAATATCGCCATCGATTGGCGGAGAAACATCGTCATTTTCCAGGATAAAATATTCACGAGACTACTTAGTAATGATGTAACTAATGACCATTGCTGGGATTTTCGGGACTTGCCACCCAGTGAGGGAAGATCACAGCCATCTCGCAAGGGGGGGGGGACACATGCACTACACTTATAGATAAAACCTAAGCAGTTGACGCGTCCGGAAACACTAATCAACCGTTGACCGGCGCACGCGTGTTGCAGGCAGCGGGTCGGCGTCGGCGGGCGGCGCTGGCGGGCGAAAGGGTCGCGGCGGCGGCGGGCTCCCGGGGCGTGGCCGCGGGGCGGTGTCGGGGCAGCGGCGCGGCGCAGGGGCGGCCGTCGGCGGAGCGCCGGGGCGGGCAGGCCCGGCGGGGGTGACTACTCTCAGCGGGCGGGCGGCGGGCGGCCGATGGCCGCTACGCACCCGCACCCGCGCGGGGACGGCGCAGCACGCCCACGGCGCGGCGCGCGCCCCCGCCGCAGGGCTTCTACGCGCACCAGCACGCCGCCGCCGCGGCCGCCGCCGCCGTCCAGCGCGCCGCCGCGGCCGCCGCCTACGCGCACGACTACGCGCAGAGGTAAGCGCTCGGCCCACGGACGGAGAACAGGGTTATCGCTAGAGCCCGGCCTTAGTTTTGCCTGAAATAGGCTGGCAGATATTTTTACTAAATTGGGCTTTCAATAAGGTATTTATTCTAACTAAAATAGGAGTGCAAAAGCCATATAAAATATTAAAAATAACAGTAATTACTGTATAAAATTATTAATTAAAATGAATCAAATTTTTATTCTAACTGAAAAATTTAGATTAGCATTTAACGTAGAAGGAACCCATCTTTTCTTTGTAATCTTGATTTCACCGGGCCATCCCGTATGATGACTACGTATTTTTTTTAATTGCTATTCTGTATCTTCGAAGTTTATTGCGGACTCTCTTTTGAATCAGGAAATGGCATCAGTGAAAACAACTTTTCGTTCTTCGCATTAGTGTAATCGCTAGTACTAAGAAAGGAATACTATACAAGAAGAGCTGTCCTCGAAAGACATCAGAAGCCATACTCACGAGAGGCATGGGATTCCTCGTGAGTGAACAAAGAATGTCGGTATCGCTGAAAAATATAAAAAAGATTCGATTACTATCTTTTTTATACTTAGATTTTTCATATGCACATCCAACTTAAAAAGAGATCAGTGCCAGGAGCAGAGAAAAGCAGAATTATAATGTAAAAGTCAGAAAAGTAAGATAAGACAAAATAATAGCAAAAATAGCCATCAGTAGCTAAAATGGGAAAGAAAAGGCAAAGCTGAAATCCATTCAAAGAATTCCAGAAGAAAATTAAATGATTCCTCTTCAAAGACAAAATAGTAACGATAACTGTTTTTGCCGAACTTCCTGTCTCTCGTTGTTACAAATTATTAATCGAATTTTTAAAAAATGGCTGAAATGCAGTTTGTGATACAATTCGTTCCCTCTTGCATATTCGCAGAGGAAAAAAACTCTTCGATGCAAGAAAATGGAGGATTTCGAGAAAACCATTACGTCAAATTATTTTTAAGATGTATTCGCATATAATGCGTTCGTAATTATGTGCTGATCAGTCTCTTGGAAGTTTTATGTTAATACAGAACCTGAGGCCCGAGCCTCGTCCTCAACTTGGAACTACTTAGCGAAGAGTCACTTTCCGCGTGAGTCATTCTCGGAATCGACAGTGCGTGTGAACGAATCGAATCACGAACTGCTTTTCTACCAAAATTATAGTTCTGAAACTATTACACATAACATAAATAGTGATACATCAAGATAGCCGGAAACACCGAGTTTTCGTGATATGCTGGCTTCATTGTGATTGACCAGATAGCATCAAAACTCAAAAAATATAAATTCCAAAATGGCGAGTGTGCAGCAGAAAGCGTCTTTTCGTTTTGGAATATGAACATTGTGGTTATTACCACAACTTAAAGGTGATTCAGAAAAGTTCATTCTCCAACATAGTGGTATTCCTCACCACTGGCATACAGATGTGCGTCCATTTCTTAATAAGGAACTTCCATATCGATGGACCGGGCAATGTGCTGATGACTTGGCACTGTTCCCTAGGTCTCTCCTACAGTTTCTCATTTTTTCTCTTATGGGCCTAGTCAAAGACATTCTGAGTTAGTTCTGAAAATTCTGAGTTAACAGTGAAAATCAGACCTATAGCACCTTTATAAGTATTTTCCTCTATTTTTGCAAGGAATTTAAAAAAATGGAGATATTTTTTAGAAAATTTTGAAAAGGGCTTCATGTATATTACCCCCAAGTTAATGTTTTTTTATTCAAAATCGCAGAGCAGCGACTCAAACCAGATAGACGGGGGCTTCTTCAATTTGAAAAAATCTAATGCCTAGTTTAGGCACTAGTGTTGTTCACATACAGACGGACGGACGTTAAAAAACATACGTGTCAGAGGATCTCAAAAAGGGTATTTCTTTTGAAATCTCGAAACTGATTTTCCGCAACATTACATAATTTTCTCTATACTAACGTATTTGAATATATTCAGTATATACGTACGTATACGAAAAGTAAATCAGTACAGTTTTATTTGTTGCTCAATGTTGTTGAGGGTGTTTTTAAATTGTACTTCTTTGGGGAATTTTGTGCTAATTTTTCTGCATGTTCTCCATTAGTTTGAACGTGAAGCTGCCACAAATTATTTCGAGTACGAACCACCTAACACTCACCTCTAAACATGGCCACGAAAAGAAATGACGCAAACAAACGAACAAATATTTCTAACGAATCGTTGTTAGGTTGACCAACAGTTCATTGAGAAACTCAGAAACAGAATTCAAAATAACCGTACATGTTTAAAAAAAATGATTTTTTTGCATATCATGGGATATTATAGCGTCCCGAAATAATTTGTCGGGTCATCGGGTCAAAGGTTAAAAATCCCCATCTGTTCCGGGAAAGTCGGGACGCTTGGGATCCCTACGCTAACACCTTAATAGATTAATCCGACCTCGCTCGGGGCCAGGGTATATCAAAGACAATTTATGTAGGCATGTCGCATCGTCTATTTTCAGTTTCTCCTTCGTGGCCGCCTTCACCTCATGCCCCCTGACCCACAGTTATTGATTAAAGCTATTGATGGACAGTAGATAATTATGATAATATTTAGGTAATGTAAAATGACAGCTTCAGAACAGAAACTTAGCACGTACGCGTATTTAAATTTTTGTGTGTTTAAATGATTGCAGAAAAAACACTTTTATATTACTTTCGCAGAAACTAACAAAATTACCCCGATAAGTTAACCTTCTGCCGTACAATGAGCTCGTTTGAGAAAAAATCGAACTTCAATGCTGGTACGAGTGCACTTCCATTGCATTCGAAATGTGAAATTGTGATTTTTTTCCCTTTGGCAGGTAGCGCGAGGATACACGGCTTTGCCGTCAGTCCTCCGAGGACCGTCGCATCTACCTTCGGCTGGTATCTCCCCTCGCCGGCGCCCCATGTGTGACGACAGTGCCTTAGAGCGCTCCCAGGGACAGTACGATGAGCTGACAACAGACTTGGGAGAATCTGTATTGAACTCAAAAAATCTGAACTGTACTGAAGAAGAATCATCATGCTTAGATATTCTGTTCTTATCTCATTTTATGCCGTATCCAACGTATCATTTTTTTTTATTTAAAGAATTCACTACAGGTAGTTGAATGTTACAGTTACAACCTGACCTCCGTTTAGGAACGTTTTCCAAACCCAACATCGTAGAAACATGACATTCCTATTCATAAAACGGAGACTACCACATAGCTAATACCTTATATGTCAGAAACGCTCAAATATTCTAGAAAAAATTAAATTCTGTTCGTGCAATCTTTTATCAATACATGTTTACATTCATTCAGTTGAGGTGTCATTCTCTTTTACGATTTACAGAGCATACGACAAAACCATTCAATACCTGAGAACCTCGGAAGTAGTGTTTCTATACATACACAGTGTGTTTGACTGTTTCTGACTTATAAGTTTAAAATTTAAACTGTACTATTTGACTGTACCTAAAATATATTTTTTAAATTCAAGTTATTTTGTCAAATCGATTATCTACTCTTCAAATGCGCAATACTTTCGTTTTATTTTTACAATCACGCAGGAGTGTCCCATTATCATTTGTTTAGTTTTTTTGTTGATTACTGTATATGTGATAAACCAACAATATTTTTCGATCTATCTTTTCTCACAGATGATACTTCTTCACTTTTGCCAGCAATATTAATTCTGTCAGTGGCAGAGCGTTGATTGCGCCCCCTGTAAGGATGCGACATGGCTAATATAAATACCTTTTTAAAAGATAAATAAAAATGTCAATTAATGTCATATATTTTACGTTGTTTGTAATAATTACAAACAATTACTATACTTGACCCCTATGGAACTCACAGTGCAGATGAATGAGAACCCTTCAGAAACATTTTCATGATGTGAAACCTGACTTACAATCACAATATCAGGAAAAGTATATTTCTTTCAGTCATCCCTATGATTTCGTGATACTAAATCACTTTCTGCCCTTATATGAATATTTATTTGTCATCTTACACAAAACTAGTATCCGCGAAGGTGGATTTAAGAATGTAAATATTTTTAAATACTAAAAAATGTTATATACTTGAAGAAAAGAAACTTGAGCAATTGATTACTCATTTTCCTATTTTTGAGAACACGCGTCTAATCAAAATATATCAATATAATACGTTTAAAAGGTTTATTTTCCTTCATCAAGAATGGTCTCAAAGTTAGAAAAGAAATATAATACTCTCTTATACTAATACTTATTTTTGGCCATAGGAGAATTTATTCTCTTGATGAGAAATTACAGAGTAAGTTCTCTTGATGAGGAGAATTTGTTCTCTTTGTTTGAACATTGTTCTCTTGATGAGAAATTACAAAGTGACTTGAAGCCATTTGGCATATAAAATGAAGCAGTCCTCGATGATCCAAAAGTGAGCTTCAATTTTCACTATTGGTCAACCAAAACTTGTTGATAAGTTGAAATTTAATATCGTACTTTGCCGTACTTTGTCAATCACTCTTACGACTAGTATTTTCGTAATGTACGAAGAGTTGGGTGACTTGAAAATTCCCCTTTATACAAGCAACACAAAAGCCGAAGTACAGTTCAGAAATCTTTACCCCAATTTAATAAAAAAATGATGCTCTAAAATTAAATGTGATCTGTGCTAAATCAAAATTGGTTTTCGTGTATTTGCCATGAAATCAGCTGGAAAAATATGAGTGAGTGTGACATTTCTTTTCTAACTTTGTGATCAATCTTGTCGAAAAAAATAAATGATTTTATACATTTTTTTATTTGTGTACGTGTTCCTAGAAATAGGAAAATGACTAATCAATTGTTCCAGATGTTTCTTCACATTTATAACATTTTTGAGTGATTAAAAATACTTATATTTCTAAATTCATCTTTGCAAATACTTGTTTTGTGTAATACGTCAAATAAATGTACATGGAAGGGCATCAAGCGATTGACCATCACGACCTAATAGAGCTAGCAGACAGGATGAAAAATACATTTCCTAATATTGTACCCCGAAGTCAGATTTTACATCGTAAAGAAGTTTCGGAAGGGTTCTTATTCATCTGTGCTGTGAGTCCTGTATGAGCCAAATATAGGAGCAATAACTTAAATAATTTGTTTAATATCTATTGTGTTATATTACATGTTTATAAATTATAAATACATATTAATAAATTATATTGAATTTTAATACATATTCTGTTTTTCTCCCAATTTCTGTCCTTATCCACATATAACTCACTACTTCGAAATATTGGAAAATATGATCCTTGGAATGGGCTTGTGAGACCTATAGAATGTAGCTAAGTTTTAAAGAAGCATGAGCTGGCCAGGAACTGTTTGCCAGTCTATCATGAACTACCCAACTGTGAGTATTCCAGAACTCGTGTAAGTCCATAGCAAGGGGAAAGAGGTTGTTACGTGCTGCAATTAAGGGTAGCGGTTCAGACACGTCTCATAGTGCAAACTAGCTGAATAATTAGTATATAAACTGATAGTATATGATTAATATACAGTATAATACAATGTATAGTATTAAGTACCTAAAATGCCAGGCGTCTTGATATCAACATACCAGGCGTCTACTTCAACTCCATCATACTCAAGTACGCACTAATTCAATGTACTCAAAGTACGCACTAGTTCAATGAACTTTCCTGCTGCCACAACTTCCTTTACCCCCACTCCCCGACCACTATATGAATACGCGTGCGCAGGACATTTCTAACGCAGTGTTTGAGCGACAATACATGCTGTTATACAAATGTGCTGTTTTATTTTGTCTGCAAATTGCATACATACTTGCACCCCATTGCATGTACACATACTGATGTTCTTATGTAATATTTTATTTTCGGAATAAACTTTTTGATGTGTCCTTAATGAACAATTCCACATTCATTAGCATTTACAAGACTTTTTGTTTTGAACATAACAATTTGGACATCATAGTTAAAACCGTTCATAGTTATAGTTAATGCATTATTTTTAGAGAAGATACTTTAGCAAACCCAAAAGTAAATTAACGTTTTCCGTTAAATTTACATCTTTTGCAAGAAAATATAGATGACAATACTTAGTCTACATTTGAACGATGAGTTAATTTTCAGGAACCTTTTATATTTCGTATATCTAATTATATTTTCCTCGTTTAAGCTAGTACGAATAGAGGAGTAAATACATGCTTGGAGGAAACTTAATGTGGAGGTAAGTGAATACTGGTCAAACCATAGATGACATCGTTGGTAGACGGATATACGAGCCGTACTTGTAAAATTCATAGGGCTCTAGGATATATGGACAAGAGTAACAGCGCTCAGTAGGTTCTAGAACGGTGGCGTTAGTATCTGCTACGATGTAAGCAACTGCAGTTCACACACTAAAACCACGACAGAGAGACATCGATATGATGATGATAGTATATGAAGCATGATGGGTGTGGGCAACTAGTTCAGTAGCAGAAGTTAACTAAAGCAAAAGAAACAAACGTTCCATAAATGTTAAAAAACATATTGAAACAAATTATATATTTTCCAAGAAATGACTGTATGTAAATATATTTTTGCGTGGAGAGTCTATGAACCAAAGACTATTGTTCTTATCAATTCTTGCCAGAAATTCTTGTTTCCATCTGTATTCAGAATTCAGCTTGTACATTGGTTAGGGTAAGGATCCCAGAATTTAAGAAAACTTGTACAAAGTACACTTCTCTCCATACAGTCATGTTACTAACTTTTTAACGTGATATAGCAGATGTCCAACTTGGAAGGTCTCGAGGGCCACATCTGTAACCTTTAATATGATTGCGGGTCGGTTTTAACATTACACAGGCGATCCACGGCCGTATTGTCGATTTCGGTAGTTTGCGCAGCTGTACTGAAACGGAAGGGAGGGGTATGGAATAATGTGTAATATCAGACATGCAAAACGAGAGGAAACACGTCGGGATGATTTTAAATTTCTGAATTTTCGAGAAAAAAACCTGAAATCTAAACATAACCTATTTTTACATTAAAGAGACGTTGACCCAGTCGAGGCATGAGCTAGGCACGCAGTGATGTCGCCCGACATGGATGCACGTGACTTTGTTTTGAATATTATTATTTTGCGAGCCACAATTAATGGGCCAACAATAGGAAAACCCAGTTATATATTGAAATCAAGTTCGGACTCCCACCGCGTCAGCGCCTTACCCTGCTCGAACCATTTCCGTCGACCAAGCGGGCTCGCCGACTGCGGTGCTTACTTCCGGAACGCAACCCCCTCGATTAATTAACGCTTCTAGGCGTGGCGATTCTTGCTAATTTGTTCCATGCGTGTAGTATCATATCTTGTTGGGATGGAGTATGGCCGTAGTGGTGGAAGATATGGTAGTAGTGGCAGCTCATAACTTGGAAAGTTGCTGGTTCAAAAGAAAATGAGGGGGTGGCCCAGTCGTCCTCCTCAAACCCACCGCCTGTGAGGCTCTGCAGATATTTTCAAGTAACCAATAACACTTCGATTTCACGGGAACGGTGGCACTCACCTTTTAAAATAATAGATGTATAAAGATAGTATAACTATTCAAGATTGTTGAATGTTAAATTTAAATTTTCAAAAATATTTATACAATAAATAAGGAAATGCCTCCTTATGAAAAAAGGCGTTCATTAGAAATCTATTTGGAGCTTTCGCATGACGTTTGCTCCCACTCGCCCAGCTAGTTTGCTAGGCTCTGGGATATGGCAAGAGATTCTTTGATGATCATCCACCGAGCGATCCGAAAGTCATTCACTTGCTCCATCGACCCATATCATCTCCAAGTCTTTGATATGGCCGACTAACATACCATACGCCCCTCAACGCTCCGCTTATTTCCTCATGCAGCCAACGGGTAGTCATACATACTGTGTACCCTAAGGAGCATATACGAGTTAACCACGGTTTTTGTAGAATTAGTCTCTCATTTCTGATTTGCAGTTAATGCAAGAATCTTGCGATGTGATTATAACTCGAGAATTAATATTGAAATGAAACAGAAATGCGAATTGCATAAATCAAAATACATTTAAGAAGCAAAAATGTTCGGTTCTAGTGCAAACTTGATCGGCAGAGCTACAGGGCTGATTTATCCAGACGATACAGCATCGGTAAACGGTAGAGAACTGTAACACGTTCCATGTGCGTATTTAACATTCTGCCATAAAAGGACGTCTTCCGCATGTGTGCCTGCCCCGGACGCCCCCTGTTCCGGTTGATTCACGGATTGGTTGAGTTGTGCCTTGTTTTGCTTGGTTTTTGGATTCGCACCAGATCATTTATATGCTGAGATGGGCCTTGTTTTGCTTCTGACAATTTCTCTTCTGACCATTTAGGTATTGTGTATTAGGGAGGACATTTATTTTTTAATTACCACTATTGTGGTTTAAATATATGAAAAACAAATGTTAAAAAGGGTAAAGTAAATGAAAACAAATTGACAGAAAAACATATTGCAAACTTTATTTTCAAGTATTTCTAGTTATTGTTAATTTAACACAATGCAAATATTTAATTATTGTTTCAAGTAGCTAGCGCTGATTTTTGGGGGAAATCCAAGAAAAACTTTAAAAACCTAATAATAGATAGATACCGTATCGGTTTATCAATAATTCGTTCAAAAATAATTTATATAATTAAACATTATAAAGGATATTTTGGGAACCATTTAACTAAAATATATTCATATTTTTGATTTGCAATTACATTCTAAAATTATCGCGACGTTGAAGGGAATGGACGGCGATGTTTCAACGCCACTGACATAAAATCTAGATGATTAGAACAATTCTAAAAGGTGAAAGATTTTTCAGGAAATTATTTATTTAGAATAAAGTAATGAAGTAATATTCTACGTTCATGAAGTAATATAAGAAAGATATAGAAGTATGTAATAGTAAAAAAGTGTAACAAAGTCAAGTTACAGGAAAACTTAAGTGCGAATTAATTTACAAAATACTGCACAAAGTGCAAGTTTGTGTGTGCGTAAATGAGGTTAGGCCAAAGAATAGGAAGGAAAGATCGCACGCGATCCGTGACCGTTTGTTAGGGTAGTGCTCCGGCATTTGCCTAGTGTGTATCGGAGAAACCACGAAAAACTACCGATCAGAACAGCCGGCCCCCATAATTCGCCTCCAGACAGCGACTGTCTTCGACCTAGCTGACTATCTAGTGTCGCCCCATCGGGACTCAAATT